CTAAATTATTTTGACTTGCACAAGGCTTTATGTTTTTGCTTATTCAACATTTAAACTGTTCCATCTTTTGTTTAGCTTTTTAGCGTCGTTTTTCCGTTTTAAAAAATGTATTGAGTAAGCACATTGTTTTATAATAAAAAAAAAAAAAGATATTTAATATTTAATACCAATTCGATAACGAACAAGTAGTGGGATTTGCAATCCTGTGCAGCTTGAGTTGCATTTTTATTTTAAATCGGGTGTTCCAAAGAGTTAAAGGTTGCAGTATTATGTTACTCATTTGATATGATTACTTGCGTATACCTAAAATTTAGACACATAGAAAATATGAATACGTAAATACTTTTCCCCTGCAGATTAAATGCGTGACCTTCTACCAGAATCAATTACTCGTGCGAAAGAAATCAGAAAGTTCTTTATCATTTTACAATTCGTAGCTTCGTTATTTAGATACGATCAATAAAAATTAATGAATGCAACTCCCGGCGCGCGCTATTTGTATCGCAGTTGACTGTCCGGCTGTGCACAGGCGGGAAACAAGTGCGCATGTGCCCACGCACGTGGAAACTTAACAACTGCTTATATCTCCGTAATATCTGATTTCAAAATGGAAAAGGACATTTTGATTCGCATTGGCTCGGAGAATCGACTTAAAAAAGTATTGCACATTTTTGTTAACTTAACTATATTTACGAAGATAAGGTGCATAAACACGGAGCATTATTCCGCAACATTTAGTATAAACACATCGCTTGAAAGTATTTTTTACAGTCTTTTATAGATTGAGCATTTTTTTAGTAGTTAGTATCCCTTTTTGGAATTGAACGCTCTTCGAAATTACTTTGTTCGACAAGGTAAAATTTAAGACATTATGGAGAAGGAAAGAAACAATACCTTATAGATTTTGTAGATTGAACATCTTTTTTAGTAGTTAATATCTTTTCTGAAATTGAACGCTCTTCGAAATTACTTTGTTGCACAAGATTAAATTTAAGCCATTATCGAAAAGGAAAAGAACAATACCTTGAGTCTATAACAGCAGTGGCTTCCCCAACCGCAAGAAGTTGTAACTTCTCTTCTCATTGGCTTATATTTTTACACAATCCTTATCAATTCTCAAGAAGCCCCATTAACGTATTATGGTAAAAGTTGTTCTACCGCGTATATACATATATTTAGCCAATAATTGTAGGAAACGCCGCCATTCTCTTGTTCGTAATTAATTTAAATTGTGACCCTTTGAAACTGGCCACCAGTCCACGACGAGGAATTATCGTCTAGACGAGAGTAAATAGGAAATCTTTAGCGAACGGGATACAATAAAGTTGGTAGCAGGGGGAGGGCCAAAGACGATAAAGCTGGAAAACTCCAGGGAGCCCCCAATGAAGCCTCACTTTGTTAGCCCTTATCAGCATCATTAGCCGCTGGCTCAATAACTAACAGAATTGCATCAGACGCGATGTTTATCCCGGCTGATAATTCCAAATCCAGATAAACAAAATTCCCCCCTACTGGCTGAGCATTGAAATACTTTCGAGCGAATGCCACTGCCCTCAGTTCATTTCGGTCTGTCCACGTTCGCGGTATAATGTCACTTTCGTCGAGTGGCATTCTAACCCTCTCGATTTTACCCTTTTCGAAGTTTCCGTTGAACTTGCGAATCGGTTGCTCGACAGAGACGGCTGACGCAACTATCCGAGGGTATTGCTCGTCTTCGCCATCGAAGGATCTGTAGATCGGTGGTTCGATCGGCGAGACGTCCCGTCCTGTTGCTGCAAACACCGCGGTGTTGTTTCGAACAAGACTGCTGTCAAGCCGTCAATGGGTTATCAATGAACGGTCGCTTCTTGTTCTCGGTATGCGGTGGACACTTGCACGAGCATCGGAAAGTTGTTAGGTCTTCACGCGTGGACGGGTTCGATTGTCTGGGGGGAGCAAATTCGCGTTTTTAGTAAGTGGCGATGATAAGCCGGTATCAGCCCGCCAGCGATGAGACCTTCCCGCTAGACAGGCGGTCGCCAGTCTCGATAGCCACGGACATTCGGTTGTAAAATCAGTGTGGTATTCGCGATTTGACAGTAGACACTGTCTGCAGCTGAATTCCAACATGCTGGCGAGGCATCTCCTTTTTTTAGCGACGAGACGACACAGTAAGTCTAGGACATATGTACTTTGCTTTTTAAGAACGTTTAAGTGCGAACACTTGCATGAGTTCTCCGTCTAGGGGGCATATATACTAGAGTGACTGAAACTTGCTCATTCTTTCGAACTTTTGTCGAGGAATACAGGGTGTTGTAACAAGAAATGTTGTCACGATATGATTGTTTATAATGTGTTTAGTATATATGGTACAATTTCTCATTCTCAATTTCGAAGAGCATTCAATTCCAGAAAATTCTGCAATCCTCAATTTCGAAGAGCATTCAGTTCCAGAAAATTCGATGATTCTCAATTTCGAAGGGCATTCAATTCCAGACAATTCTACGATTCTCAATTTCTAAGAGCATTCAATTCCAGAAAATTCTACGATTCTCAATTTCGAAGTGCATTCAATTCCAGAAAAGATATTAACTCAGCGTTAACATATTTATTTTGTACGTGATTGATGCTTTCAAATTGATGGCCATACCGATCTATGGAGTATTGGTATAGTGAAGTTATGGAACCGCATACGTTTAAAAAGATTTCGTGTGAAATTTCAACATATTCCCTTTACATATAAAATTTGTCCTTAAGAAAACCTCACAATAAAAAATTCAGTGCTTCAAACTCATCCTTAACTCGTCTTATCTGTTCGAAATCGTCTTTGCATTTCTACCGCGTTTTCGCACTTTCGTTTTCTTTCTTCGAAACCTAATTTGGAACCGGCCACTATTTCTTAACTGTTAAATTTGCAACAAGAACAAAATTCTGCGTTTTACTAGCTAATAAAGTGCAGTTACATTTTTTTACGACACCCTGTAGTATTAGATAAAGGAATTTCCAAGAGGTGGACACGTCAGAAACGGAATTCTTTTTTAATTGATTATTTTACTAAGAATATTTTAGTCTAAATCTTTATTTGGCGATTAACGAATCTAAATATTTGAATTTAATAAATATGTATAACACAACTGTGTTTAAAATTTTCTAGAAAATTGCTGTTTTTCAATTCGAAATTTCATGTATTTTTCAACATAAATTTTGTGTAAAGTATCTTTAATTTGCATTTTTAAATATCACAAATCGCAAAAGGATACATTTGATACTTTTTGTTAATAGATTTTTTAAAGAACGAGCTATTCTTAATTATCCGGGTGTCTTAACTACGATTTCTTTCTGAATTACATATTTTGCTTGGAGGGTAATGACATCGGCTTGTAACTGTTAACCACGCTGTTAGCATAATTTTTCAGTGTTCAATGTATAGTATGAGGTATTTAACATGCTCATTTTGAATGACGTATAAATTATGCATTGTATGAAAAATTGTGACTGCAGAAGGTGCATGTTTTCTAGAAAAATACGTATGAATTCCTTTCAGATGTCTACTTTGTTTTTTATATTAAGTTTTTTTTTTTTTATTTATTTATTGCCGCATCAGGTTGTAAGTCATTAGGGACCACTGTGAGTTACATGTTCAATATTTATATACATATGTGAGTCATAATATAATTAATATAAATATGGAATGACTTATGCTTAGAATTATTAATTCTCACATCTAACATTAACTATAAATACTATTTAGCATTAAGAAAATATTTTAGAAGGTTGTAGTGTCTCGTTAATTCTTGCTTGTGTTTCTTTGTATACACAGTTCATGCCAGAATTGGAAAGAATAACCTTCATCGATTTCGAACCTGCTTTACAACAATTTCCTTCGCAAAATAATCTGATAAATAATAAAAAATATCAGTAAATATCGAGTAAAACAGCGTTGCTCATTCGATAACGTTCATGGACACGAGCTATCTAACCTCATTGCAGTTTTCGATGATTTTGGTTAGATTCAGAGTGAATAAAATTAAATATATTATTATACAGAATTTAATACATTTCTTAATTTTGATATAAAAATAGCATTTTTGGAGCGATTCTAAATATAAAAAAAAGTTTTCAAGCTGTGTAATACGCCCTCGGTATCATACAACTTTTGAAAATTACAAATTTTTACGGATCGTATAATTTTTGAATTACTCTAAACGAGCATCTACAGGTACCTCGTTCTGTACATGTCTTACACGATTCTATCTTACAACTGCGATTAATAGTGGCGCCGAGAATGTATTTACAATTTTCTTCGTTTTTGTAATACATTGTTATAAAGAATGATTTGATTAGCGTGTTATGGTACGATAATGTTGGACCAAAGCAAAACTGTTCTGACAATTAAGAATTAATAAATCTTCGTTTAGTGTCATCGTTTCCAAACTATCTCTGAGAGACAGCTATAGAAGACATCTCAGTATTTCGTTATTTTTCTTTCACTTCGATATCTTCTATTTCAATATTTCATTTGCCAGTATTTGTTGCACCAATTATTCCTTTACTCACTCCCTAAGGAAATGTCAAAAATATATTTTATTTTACCAGGTTAATTTTCCTGAATTCTTATTTTAAACAGCATATGCGTTTCAAATTATTAACAAATATCGAAAAAATTCCAGTTTTTAAAACGAAATAACAACGAACAAGGTGTAATCCACATCTAAATTAGTTCAACGACTCTGCAGGAATTTTCCGTCGTTATTTCTGAGACTCGTTAATCATAATCAAGCAAAAGGTTGCCAATCCCGAGTTACGAAACATTTCAATTCGCGCCGAGTGTCACCATGTTATTATAAATAATCATGTGAATGTTTACCAAGTTAGTATTTCAAGAAAGATGAGATATTGAATTTTACATCAAATGTGGACTTGTTTTGTTTATGTGTTTCTCCTTCGTAATACATACTGGCGTTATACAATTCTTCAGTAATTGTTTACGAATTTTCAAGGAAATGTGATAACAAGTAAACATGAAATTCGAAATTCTTGTATAACAGAATAATTTACGATTGAGAAATTATTTCTCTATTTTCTGACCTTCGACGCGTCACTTACTTCATTAGGATTTAGATATTTGAGTAGTGCTTGTTATTTTGTTCAAATAGTTTCTTTTCATAACATTAATCATTCTGATACATAATCGAATAATACCTCTTCATTTAGAACATTGTATAAAAAGAACGTACCTAAATATTTTTTTTTCTTATTTTATAATTTTATTAATTTTTATTACAGTCTGATTACATACATTATTTTAGTTTTACATTATGAAGAGCAGCAGGAGATAATCTGAAATGATACAAAATTGTATAAATGAAAAAAATCAAAAAGTTCACAAAGAATTTTTTCGAGCGTATGAAAATGTTTTATAAATTAGATAAGATTCTTTTAAATGGGAATAAATTTGACGTTTGAAGTACAGCTTCAAGCTAAAAAATAATGAATAAATCAGATCGCTTCAAGTCTAATACTGTTAATTTTATATTAAATATCCTCTATATATACTAGTCATTGCGATTTCATTATTTTAAAGATGTCGAAGGTTACAAAATGTTGTCAAGTGTCGCAACTTTTATCGTTTATCACATTACCACATTTAATTGAATTAAATTTGGCGCATTATTCAAAGATTAAATTCGAACGGCGATGTAAACGAATGTATTGATTTCTTCCGTTTTAAACATCTTCCATGAAATAATACATCTTTTAAGATATCTAATTTTCTATTAATAAATGGACAAATGTCGTTGTAAACAGGCGCGAACTCCAGCACGCATAACATAATAACATTCCAAAGTAAACATTTGGATAGCAGAAATAAAATTATTTCTGATAATAACGAGTCCCAAGTTTTGTAATAGAAAATACACGCAGAATTAATTTGTACGTCCGCAGTGGAAGATAGAAATTAATTTTCGATTAATAATTCGATAAAGATGACCAATTGTGTGCTGCAAGTGTAATTTTATTACTCTCCCAATTTGTAATCGCTTCACCGCTGATTACTTTTCATATTACGACATGAAAGATACCATAGGTCACGTACTGTAACTTATAAGAGCGGTAGTGCTAATCATGTAATACATTTCTCTTACTTGATAACCGATTCACTCGATATGTACATACAGAACCCTATACATATACATATACATATACATATACATATGTATATTATACATGTAGTACATTTGATGTAATGTATTTCGAAATGAGAAAAGGTAAAATATTCCTCGTGCTAAGAGAAATTCAAAAACCCTTTGCTATTTTTCAAACTGAAGCTATGTTTCCGAGATATAAACAAAGAGTTGTAGTCCAACTTCCGGAGCGCGCTTTTTAAATCGTGGTCAGCCGAGTGTTTGATGTGTTTAGTTGTTCGTAAACTTTAAAACGAACTTTAGTTTCCTCACACTTCATTTGTATAACGAGTTGAAGAAATTATTTTTCAAAAGATTTTATCTTGATTTCACTGCCAAAATAATATTCTCTGTATATGTGTCAGTACACGTGAACTAATTTGAATTAATTTAGTAGTAAGACACATTCAGTAGGAAATGATAATTTTAATGAAACCTTTAACATTTGCCCCCTTGCAATATTGCTATATCTCACAAATTTTTTTCTGTAGAAATTGTAATATACCTAACGAAGTCCATACAACCTATCATTTAAAGTTATAAATATTCTTATTTTTGTATTACGGGTATGGGACAATTATTCGTTCCTCACACGGGTTTTCTTTCTTATTTCAGACTATTTTTGAAGTCAATTTGATATACACGGTGTGCCTCAAAACCTTATGCACAAATTAAATTGATTAACAGAACTCATGAAGAGAAACATAACGTTTACGATAGACACGTGTCCAATAATTAGTTTCTTTTAATATAATCAGTTTTTTAGTTCGTAAACCGATTGCTCCTCTATACGACATATTGCACAATAACTGATATCTACGGTTATCGTTAATATTCTCACGTCTGTACATGAGACGAATATTTGTCGGTTATCGGTATCTTTAAAAGAACTCTCTTAAAATAATGTTTAAAAGACTTGCAAAACAATTCGATTTATATTTAAAACAATTGTTCATAGTGTTAATTAAATCGTGGAATTGCGTATCTTGATTGAATTAGTGTCACTTGGTGTGTCACTCTGTTCCATTCTAAGGAAGTTGAAAATTTTCTTTTTTGAAGTTATACGAAATATATTTTCTTACAATGGTATTGAAACAAAAGAAAAAGGAATTGCGGCGATAGCTCTGCTATCAACTGCTTGTGGCGAAGTTAGCGAAGAGCATCGCGTACAACGAATTAAACGTAATTCATAATGGTATCATCGCGAATTCTTGGTATTCGTCTTAGTAGGCATATCGTTGTAGTCAGTAAAAAAATGGAGCAACGTGACATGAAACTGAACAAAAGAAACAATAAATTGTTCGAATCCATCGACGGGAACGTTGCGATATAGTTTCTAACAAAATATTTATCCTTCTCACTTCATATATTTTTGCCCTGAAAATCCAATAAATGTAAGAGACATGGTTATCGTATATGCACGAGCGGATTTTTGTCGAACGCTCGATTCGCACGTACTTAGATCAATTTGAATCATAGTATTTGTTACTTACGAAGTAATTACTGATTCTTTAAGGGGTTGGTCGCAGTCAGAAAAATGGAAACGGACAGTTTCTTGTGTGTTTTTTTTTAAGGTATTAAATAATAATTTTTATTAATGAAACGTAAATATATTAAAGAGTATGTCTTAAAGAACTATAAAAGAATTTATCCTGTATTGAATCGCTTAATTTTTATGAAAAAATTGAAAATCAACTTCAAATGTACGCCATCTTGTTTTAAATTAATTTTTTCCAAAATCGTTCGTTCAGGGACCCGCTAGACTAATCTATTTTCGAAATCTACCTTTGTTTTTGTTTTCAGGTAAACCAGTGTAGAGAAATCTTGCTCACCGCAAACCTATATTTTTAAATCATCGTCTACGTCATCGGCTGTTATGACGATATAAATTAAACGTTTCTTGAAACAAAAAATGTTTTTTAGTTCTTTAAAACATGCTTTATAATATACTTAATTGTTACTTATGCAAATTATTATTTAATAACTAAAAAGAATCACAAAGAAATGTCGTTTTTTCTCTTCCTGACTGCGATTAACCCCTTAATGGATCGATAGGAATGAATTCGGCTATTGTAATACGTAAACCTAGAAAATGTGACTATTATTGGAAGGTCATTTCTGTGCACATAAGTCATTGTCTTGAAGCACAGATTGTTGATACTTAACCAGTTATTGGCATTAAAAATAATTTGTAATACATTAATGTATTAATGTGTATCGCGTTATAAGTGATAAACAAGTTATATTCAACAATAATGTGCTTGATTTTTCTAATTGGAATACTTTCAGATTTTGGTTAATAAAACTAATTTTAATCGTAGATTAATTCTAAGTAACATTATCATATGATAATTTTGAATAAAATTACCGTAAGATAACACTGTCCCATTATATTGCGAATTTTCACTGAATGAAATACTTGGAAATTTTGTTGTTGCTATACATTGTAGATTATACGAGTGTCCCAAAGTTACTACGCACTTCTAGGTGTCACTTCTATTTTTATCAAACAAAATTAAACAATCTTAAAGAAAATAAATATGAATTTTAAAAAGATTATAATTTCATATTTGTTAGGTTAGCTTTTGATTACTGATAATTATTTTGACACTACTATTCCGTCCAATCGTGTAAATAGATAGTATATTCAAATAAAATCTAAAAATTGTAAAATTTGTTTGTTGTAACAAGTATTAGTTTGATAATAACGAGCAACAGTAGAATACGCTGTTGTTTAATAAATAAACCTTACGACCTCCTCAATCGTTCATTCATTTATAATCCAATCAATTGCAAGCTGGAATTTAATTTAATTCGCGTTATTATCTACTATTCTTGCGTACTTAAGTTAATAATTTTGCCAAATTTCTCTAAACTCTAAATAACTATAAGGTATTCTGTTGCCGTTCATTATTATCTTCAAAATTCATGCATTACCCGTTAAAGTAATTTTTGCAATAAATTGACGATGCAGACAAAATGAGTGTGCTTTGTCATTTAACGGATATCAATTGTGTAATTTCTATTTCTTTGTTGTCGAAGGCGTTTCGGCGTACCAGCAATTACAAAGGCAGCGTTGAAATGATTTAGAAACTCGATAGGAAAGTAAAATAAGCATTGTGGGAAATCAAGCGGAATATATCGTTAGTTTGCGGGCAATGTTCACCAGCTGGAGTTAGCGACTATCGACCACCTTGTCTACACAGACTAGATTAGGTTACTATGCACGCTTTTGATCGAATACGTTTACGCTACTCTTTTCTTTTTAAAAGCCAGCGCGTATTAAATTACAGAAATTTACACACGAGTGACGGAAACGTTCGACTTAAGTTTGTAAAATCGGCCAGTCGAGCGTCTCGAATCTTGAAGCTCGAGGCTCGCAACGACTTTGCCAAGGCGGACGTTGCCCATTCTCGCGAGAGACTTGTTTAGAGAATATCGTTTTGCGTCATACGCGTGCACAGGAACGATACACATCCAATCAAAGCGAAAAGAAGAGGGAATTGGTCGGACACTCGGTACAATAAGACTTCGTTTACGCAATATGAGTAATTGGCCTCTTCTCTTTGAATTTCCTGCTCCATTGTTCGTAGAAGCAGCGAAAGCCGTAGACAATGCACGTTGGAGCCAATAATAATAATATTAATAATATTAATAATATTAATAATAATAATAATAATAATAATAATAATAATAATAATAGTAACAATGACAATAATGCTAATAATAATATTAATGATAACAATAGTGATGATGACACTAATATTAATAATAAGAATGATAATCATATTCAAATGTGGATCCAGGATTTCAACGATACAGACTTTTTAATTTTTGAGCAGTACATATGTGGCTTATCTCGAACCTTTACGGTTTGACCAATGTAAGTAAGAGATCTCTTTCAGGAGACAATAGCTATACATTACACCTAAAAGAGTTTTTTTTTTCGTCGAATTTGGTTAAGTAGTATCTCTAGAGACGACAGCCCCACATACAAAGATATCTTATTTATCCGGTTTCTCGCTTATCCAGCTTGAAAAAGTGTTTATCTCGATTAGAAAGATTCTAAAAGCAATTGTCTTATCTTCTAATGATTAAGAAACTTAGCTACAAAGGTGATTATTCTTAATTCACGAGTTTTAGGATTTTTTGGTCGGTTATGTATCTCAATTCGTATGTTATTGTAGAACAACTTTTTTTTTTTTAAACAAATGCGTTATTTTCTAGCTACTTCGTATATATACTTTGAAAATAATAAAAATAAAATATCGAGTTTAAAGGAGTTAACACGTTAACGCGCGCATTTTACGTGGTTTACCGATGGCGCCAACATGAATTGTCGCCATGTTGTTGCCGGTCATCGGTGACCTCCACGGCAGTGAACGTGTTAAAGATGTTTGATAGTCTTGCTAATAGAGGTCTTTTGGTGTAAAAGTGCCGGGAACTTGCAATTAATTTTAGTAATAAAGGTTCCCCACTTATCCAAGTTAAACTGTACTAAATATAAGTACGAAGAAAGTAAGTTACTTACAAGGTGTTCCGAATAAGGGGCCAAAGACATCGCATAACTTGAACAGAAGAAAAAATAATCACAAACGTCAGTTAAACGTCGATTTAACACGAATCGTTTATTTAGAAACCGAAGAATCTACGTATTTGAAATCCTCGATCCAATCAAAGACTTCGAGAATGCAGACTTATCGAGAAACTCTTGCAAAAGATTGCAACACACATGATTGTACCATGTTTGCCATCGTGCAGCGACTTCTTCCGTTAATTTAAACTTAGTTTTAACTGTTTCGCACCGTGTTTTCGCAATGGTTCGCGTGACAGAAGTATCACCGTTGAAACTTACAATTAACTGTTTTAAGATATAACACTTCTGTTGATATCTGAAACTTTCTTTCTGTTTCCACCTTGTTTTTTCTTTTCATCGCGCGATTTGTACCACCAGGGCGTTCGACGTAAATTATATACATTCGCCGACAAATGACAAATGTTGATTGACATGTGGTGAGAAACGTAAGTGTGCCTCAACTTGCCGTATCGCATGTTAGTTCGATGCGTGCTCTGCCCTCGTTGTAAGTAGCATTTAGCACTAACATGAACTAACTTCAGACACGGGACTTGCATCACAACAGTCGCTCTTTCACTTGCTAATCGCATCTCGCGTGCATCGTACAAGGGTGTCCCAGCTAAAGGAGATTACGTAAATATCTTCCTTCATTTTTGCGGTATGAAAATTGTTTATGACATTATATCAATGATTTTGGAGTTTTCTCAAGGTTGTTTGTTAGATTATCATTAGACTCAGATCTTGTGAAATGTATTTCTCGATCTGTTACAAGGTGCACATATACAGGGTGGGATATTTTAAACACGTCACCTAAATAACTCGTTTGTTTTTGAGGATAGAAGGAAGTGCATTACACCAAACTTACTCGGTATCAAGAGGCTCATAATCTGAGATTACCAATTATTCTGTAGGTGGAGGCGTCAAAGAGATATGAAGATCAATTCTATTTTTTTTTTAAATGAAATGGTATGGTGACATTGTACGCTTATCTGTATCCTCAAACATTATTGGTAATTTGACTACCGTCTAGAGTATAGCTTCGTAATATTACGCGAGAAACCAACTAAGTACTAAACTTGACATGCAAAAACGTATTCGATGAGCTTGCTCTGTAATAGATACAAATGAAATTTGCCAGGCAGTGTCATCAGTATTGCCATTTTGAACACTTGGAGTGGCAGTGAGCAATTAGACGTCCAAGTATTCGAAAAGTACTCTGAGACAATTTATTTTTTATTGCAGTTGACTTTGGGTGACCTCAAATGACCTTCATAGTAGGTTATTGTATTCGTCTTGAAACATTCTACCAAACTCTAAGGAAAAAACAATACCATTCCATTGAAAAAAAAAAAACAGAATTGATTTTCATATCTCCTTGACGCCTCCACCCACAGAAAAATTGGTAATACCAGATTATGAGCCCCCTGATACCAAGTAAAGTTTGATCTAATGCATTTTCTTCTATTTTCAAATACAAACGAGTTATTTAGATGATCTCTTTAAAATGCACCACCCTGTATACGTTTTCCCAGTATAATTACCTCGAAACAAATGAAATTAAAACAAAATATTTTTTATTAGGCATTCCTTCTCCAGAATCCTCGAAATGGTGTCATGAGTAATTTTTATATCACAGAAAGCAAGAGAGACGGCCTCTTTCGGATGGGATACCCTGTATGTCGATAAAAGATCTATCGAGATTGCTAGGTATGCACACGTTTGCAACACGGCTGTCTGAAACATTTCTTTTTCAGTTCACTGAAATCAATGACAAGACCTTAATGCAGTGTATCGCGAACTTCACCCTGACTGAAGTCAGGACTCCATACAGTAGAATCAGTTTACTTTCAAATAAATTTCACAAATATTTATTCATGTACATATTAAAAACTCTAATTCGATTTAAATAATGTTATATTCACTTAATTTTAGTTTTCTGTATGCTGTTTCCCAAAGCGGTGCATACGAATATATACAAAAGGAAACTTGCACCTTTGCATGGATCTTGGGGCTTTTTAATATTACTTAATAATAGAATAACTTTTCTCTATTTACAAAACTTCCAATTACTTGACAGAATCCCTGGATAATTTCGAGATTTTTTAATAGTTTTTCTCAAATAAATATCTTATAAAAATTGCTTATTAATTGACAATTAGAAAAGAACTGTACTATTGAAAAGTTCGATATAATTTAATACTTTCTATTACGTTCAATAGAAGCAGAATTAAAAGTGAACCATGAGGAATAAGAAATATCACTTGTATCAAAGATTTGAACGTTTTCACCTTCTATGGACCGAATCCTTTTTCTGCAGACAACATGCAAAGCGTTTACTTTGATATTTCAAGTTGATGGTGCTGCCAACCGTCACCAATATTGTTATCAGAGACATTATATTATTAACACTTTACCGGCCGGTAGCGATTAGACATATAATTAAATTCAATTATATTTTTTATTTTGACAATAATTTTTATTTTTTATTCTTTTATTTAATGAAAAATCATGAACACACGGTATTATCTGTACAATTTGTTACAATTTGTTACAATTTGTTACAATTGTATTAACTTGTTGCAACATACATGAATTCAATAATATTTTTTATTTTGACAACTTTAGTATTATTCAATCTCAATTTTATTCATTAGAGTAGTCTTACGATTAATATTTACACAATATTTTATAATTCATATAATGATGGAAGCATAGATGACAAAGTATTGGTTGTCCTAGCAAAAAGCCTATTAATAGGCTAACGGTCGGTAAAGTGTTGAGACGTATACGTCGTCTTGTGAAAAAACTAGAATTATTTGGTAGAATGTCGAAATACTAGCAAGTGACTTAAAGGTTACACGTATACTTATTCGCCATACAGAGTTAATTTCCAGTTCTTATGTTCTCTTGTTATATGTTCGCTACCAAATACAGAAAACACCGATGAAAATTTCTAGTTAAGGGATTTTGTTTAGTTCTACTTCAGAATCTATTTTTTTTTTTTTTTTAAAGTTGTGTACTCTAGTTTGAGAAGAATTATCATAATGACTAGCGATTCGCGTTTCAGTGTCCGTGTTGAAACGTGTAATTTCCACAGTCGAGCGAACGTAGTATCGTAAATACCGAATCGAATCAAGAAGCATCCCAACGAGCACCACTTTTTCACGTTTTCTTTTGCTACAGCAAGAATTAATCAGCTTGCGACTAATATCTAAAGGCCTACTTACAACCTGGGTAGAGGAGCATGCAACACTTTGTACCGTACATGTACATACGTATAAATATGTTACTGTATAAGACTCATCTCTTACTCGTGTGCACTGTATGTTTATAAATGTGTATATTTCTTTGTTTGTATCTATTTTGACGAACATTGCGCGCATCTTGCCATTTGAATGTACATACTGACTAAACGATGTCGTTAAACGTTACTCACAAGGAATGTATGTGAATAGATGCCATTTTTAATGGAAACCACAGCTGTATTTTGTTATTTGTTTTTCTTTTTTTTTATCATTCGTTTTTACCTGTTTTATACCTACAGTGGCTGGCGAAAGTATTCAAACCCCTGCAAACGAAAATTACAATGAACGAGAATACTAGACGAAACTAAAGTTTCCAAACTGTTACTTTGAAGAGAAGGAATGTAAATATTAGAATATATTATCTGACGAATTAATATAAATTTTCAAGTAATAGTCTATCACAGTAAATACCACTGTGGATTGACGTGACGCAAAAACAAACTTGAAACTAAAATTACTGTTAAGTCGGTCGATTATCACTTCACACAAATTTATTTAACTTTTTCGTCTAATTAAGAGATTATGGTATTATTACACGTGGTAATAATTATTTATCTTAATGCATATCCATATCGATTTGTTTTGTGTCAATTGTTTTGTCATTGTATTGAAAAATTACATCAATAATAATTATGAGTATTGTACCAAGTTTAAATAATAATTCGCGAGAGAAAAAGAAATAGCTGATATTTCAATAACAATATGAACTTTCTGAAACTGATTCGAAGGTGTTAAACTGTAATACAGATATTTTTTGTAATGCAGTCATTCGATCGTTTTCTATTCTGTGTGTATTTTATTTATCATAATCGAAAGAAGTAATGACATTCTTTGTATTCTTCCATATATAGCAAGAATTCATTAATTTCGCGCATAATGAAATTTAAGTGTTAACGAGATTTCAAATGACTTGACACGTTAAGATCTAAAGAAGCCATACTAGATTTAAATTGCCATTTAAATGTTTTAATGTGTCGTAACTAACGTAAACATCAAATTGTCTTCGAAAACATTTTATCTCGTTCGTTAACGTTTATCGACAGCAAGAGTTCAAATACTTTTATGAAACATTGTATGTATTGTTAGCTCCTTACTACCAGAGATGGGAAAAATTCTAATGTACACACAAATTTCGTATAACGAATCAAAGATAAACTTTTAGTCGTCACTTGTTAAATAAATATTTAAATTTAAGTTGTAGAATGAGATATTGCGCAATGGACAACTGCAAATGTAACTATGCGATCGACTAAATGTCGCGAATAAATTACTATAAGTATTCGTTACTTATTATCGCAATACAATTTTGTCCATCTCTGCTTATTGTAAATAATAACCATCGTTCATCTCCCCCATCCATTCCTACACCTACCGTTCGTTTTGTGTCTTCTTTCCTCGATTCACCTTACATTTCTTTATTTGTGTTCGTGCACATTAGCCTGTGTACACATGCATACTAGTTTTATAGAAAAATTGCACTTGACGCGCGTGTGGCATCCCTCGCTAGTAGCTCACGTACATGTCGTAGTACCATAGTTCATGTCCGGTGAGTACATTTTGTTTTTAACTTCATCAGAGAGACACGAGAGTCCGATATAGAAATTCCCTTATCATGTTCCGTTCATTATGAAACTGGCATACCTTTTTTAATCGACTTCGAAAAGGAGGAGGTTACTCAATTCGACATGTATTTTTTTTTCTCGATGGTTGCCAACAATTTCTACATATAGAAACCACGAAGGTACATTCCATATCGGACTCTAGTGATGTATTGTTGCACTGTAGTTTTCTCACGCTTGTATCGCATGCTTGCATTCGCGATGTCTTCGTGTCGTGCTTGCTTTGCTTTCATCTTACTAACAACAATGCTATGAAAAAAAAATAATTTAACATCGTATTTACAGAATACTCTAAAACGTATCTATAGCGGCGGACATATACTTACGAACATTGCTTATAATTTAGATTCTACTGTTGGTAATATTATATTGGACGAATGTAAATTGATTTCTAGTCCAATTTATTAAAGGCATACATATATTTATTTAAAAAATACGAAGTAAGTTTAGATTAACTTGCAGTCTATACAAGTTATAAATAATTATATTTATTAAGTGGAGAAATTAAATCTGTGCCTTTACATTTAATCTTTTACGACTGTGGTATAAGGAAAAACGTTTACTCGTTATTTTTTAACGTTAAATTAGCAACCTTCTGAGTTCTGAGTCTGATCTCTATTGCAATGAATCTATACGTAACCTAAGTCTTAATCTGATGGCTATTACAATTTATCTGCACATACGAAGTTCAGTGTAGCAAACAAATTTTGCTTGTCATTGGTCTTCTAACAGCTTACACGTATACTTATCAATTATTAGGTGTAGAAATTAATTCTTTGCCTTTACATTTAATTATTTATGATTCTTATTTAGATAGAAACATTTACTCGCTATTTTCTTACATTCAAGTATCAAGCTTCACAGGAATGAATCACGCTGATTGCTTTGACTTTTGGTTTTACAATTATATGTGATTAAAAGTTGTATTGTTTTTCTTTTTAAATGAATAATAAGTTTACATTCCAAGGATACAGAATTAATTTCTGCACTTAATATTTTCATGTTACATCTTGTTCACACATACTTACGAACAATACGTTTTCGATAATGCAGTACTATATTCAATACTACCTAATAAAATACTAACGAAATAAACAGAAATAGAAATATATATTATTTAGCATTAAAAGACTCATAATAAAATAAATCAGAAACTTTGTTGATATCACATAATAAGTACATATAATGAGAGTGATTATTTGTATGCTCGTAACTATATAACCGCCATTGTATTTAATTTAGAAGTTACTTAATCGACTTCAAACACTTAATATACGAATACACGAGACCAATAACAAACCAGATTGTAATTTCATTGCTATATTAAAATTGTTGGTGACATTTTTCAGTAGCAAATTATTCGTACGTATTTACAAACAAGTAACGTAAATCGGTAAAACGTGTAGTAATAATATCGTACAGAGTCGAATATCTAACAAAATAGGAAACGTTATCGTATTTTACCTTCATAGCTTAGAAGCAATCTTTCCAAAGCCTGTAAAACTTCTGAAATTAATCGTTAGATAACTGAAAGTAACGGAGACAACAAAAATTTGATTGCGAAACGTGAAATGCAACTACGGGTAAAATCATTTATCTTTTTGTTTCAGACAATACGTTGTTGGCGATAGACTCGGTGCCTCCTCATGGGTTAGTACAACCACCACCGTACATCTCGCCCCCTAAACCCGAGGATTGTCAGAAGGACCAGAAGATCCAAGAGATACTGAAGGAGTCACGATCGTGCCCAAAAATTCCAACCCAGTGCGACAATCAGCAGAACTACGGACGACATGGACCCCAACTGCGCCAAATTTATCCTCACGATACTAGACGAAACTTGTACAACAACAACAACAACAACAAATTCTTCGAGCAAAATCAACTGCCGGGTTACAACGAATACCAGTATGGCCGCGATCAACGGCAGATCGTGCATCTACACAACGCGAGGAATCAGCAATACTACTCGCCAGGGAAGGATATCAATCAGCAATTTTATACGCTGCCATCCAGAAGACCGCAGAGGGACATCGAGCCGCCGCGTAGCGTTACGCCAGACATTACCAGAGGTCTGGGACGCGGTTCCTTGAGCACGATGCATATGCTCGCGAGGCATGGTCAGAAGGCGATGGTGGACCAGGATTCCAATCGATTCGGCTCTCAGGCAGACCTGAACAAACGAAATGTGGAGAATTTCGAGATACAGCACAGCCTGATGCAAAACCAACAGCCACCCATTGTGGATGTCAGAAACAGGTGGGTACGAACGTCGATGTATGGAACAAGAAAAAGTGATTAACACGTTGATCGCCAAGCTGATACTCGTGAAAATCTCTACGTGGTTAAAATTATTTTTCGAGACAATTGGAAAGCGCGTAACCTAGCATTTGTCATGGTAGTTATTTTTCTAATCTCACCATACTCACAAAGTCTATTTAGATTCATTTTTATCGATAACATGACTTCAAAATTAATTTTTTTAATTCCTTAATAAAAAGCTCTGTCACCCTTATATGAGTGACGTGGCGACCAACGTATTGAGGTAGTTGTTTATCTGCACATTCGACCGCTGACGTGAATTTACGTCACTTCAAATTCTATTCCTGGTTTCTCTTACAAATTATGACAATCTTTTTATTTTATACACTACATACAGTGGGTGTAGAATGTATTCGAACACCGATAAATTTCTCCTCAAAATTTGGGGAATATTGTAGTTTCTTAACTTCTCTTTTTATAATCAATGATATTGTACATATTCTCTGAAGTCTCTAAGATAGATATAGTCCAAACAACATTTACTAGTTAATATAATTTGTGAAATTAACAATAAGAGTGCGAAAAGTGGATAAAAGTATAGAAGCAATAAGTATTTGTACGATTCTTATGACGAACCATTTACAGTAGAGTTTGTAACGTAAACACATTAGTTTATTGCTCTGTACGAATTAGAAAACTAATAATTTAGTGAATCGAATGCTTAGAAAAGTTATAATAATTATAAAATCAAAAGGAAATCCAACGAAGGAAGTATTATATACTTGTAAATTAATGTAAATTTCTTTCTTTTTTTTAATGAAATTTTAAAAATTACACAGTTGTGCGAATACTTATTGCTTCAATATTTCTATCGATTAATTGTTTTTTTCTTTGTTAATTCTTAATTTACATAAATAGCTATTTTTTTTTTGTAATCTATCTATTCTAGTGAGTTCCGAGAATATGTAGAATATCATTGTTTATAAAAAATAAGTTAATAAGTTACAATTTTACATAGTTTTTTTGGAAATTGATCGGTGTACGAATACTTTCTACACCCACTGTATTTACAAGATTGATATTTCAAAACATATTTTGTAATTTTTATTATTTTATTAGTATATTCTATTAACTTTGATATTTTATTAATATATTTTTTTGTAATTTTATTATTTTCGTCAGTACTCGGTGTTAGAAATGTAAACTATCTGCCGGTTGCGAATGTGCTAAGAGAGTCACGTTCGAAAGTATAATTTGAAACTGGGGTGGTTAATTTAAATTGAAATAGGCTCATGTGATTCGTATTTAACCCCTTGACGACGGCAGACCTTGATACGCACCGGATGTGCACCGAGAACGGCGAACTTTTGGGTAGGGACACATTTTTGTAAAAACATATTTCAGTAATTAAAAAACTGAATTTGACTACATCAAAACAATGTTATTTATTTCTTTGAACCGAATTAGTATAACTATCACGAATTTAATATTAATGTAGTTTATCACGAGATGTGTCAGAATATAGGCGATCTCAGTGTCACAAACACAAAATTTGTAAGCGCTTATAAGCACCAACAGTAGCCAAGGGATTAACTGAATAGCATTCACGTAAAGTTTTGTTAAAATTCTACATTAAATAAATCCATGGAACAACTACCTTAAAAGAGTGTAAATGATCACATTAAGAATATTTGCGTGAAATACAGATTGTTAAAATTATTGAAATATTTAGGTTTACCGTGTTATCTGACACCTTACACGAAAATCATAATACAAAATTACATATCGTGTGATATACCTTTTATCGACTAATTTTCGACTTCGAATATTTTTAGCAATATTTAAAAAATATTTACGTCTTTCTCTATTCTATTGTTGTGCGCAACGTTTTTGTTAATTCAAGTAAGACATTTAACGTATTTACATATACGTATCATAAAATATATAACTTAAGAAATATCTATTTCATAAACTAGTCAATCCATTTACTTAAAAAAAAAAATGATATTACATCACAAACAACACTGCCCACCTTAGATTATTTATCTTAGCTAACATTTTTTAATATTCGAGAAAAATGGGGATTTATAATTATCTTTATGTTATATTGTTCACTTTTTTTTCTTCGCCGAACAAAAGAAACGGCCATTATCTTATGCCATGCTGTGTATCTTTTTAAAGCACGGACACCAAATGTATATCTAATGTAACAATTAATTAAACGTCTCAAATAGAACATTTAAATCAAAGAGGACAGAGTAGATAAAGTGTTGTGTAGTGGTTGATTAATCCTTTGAGTGGCATATACGTTCAGAGAAAGCTATCGATGTAAACTATAGACGCATATATGCGTTTTTTAATCTGTTCGATCTTCTTCTTGAGACACAAGTATCATTTGTTGTATACTCTACTAAGATTCATTAATTTTCAATTTAACTTATGCTTTACATTTCAATATCTCTAATCAAATAAATAATGAAAAAAGAATTGCTTTGGATTGTTTTGGCAATCCGCGAGTATTTAACCCTGAACGAGTCAATTTTGTTACTAATATCGACGTACATTCACACCGCCACATTGTCACGTGGCCTAATGTCACGTGTTCCTCCTGCTCCTGCTTTGACACTGATTTCTCTTAAAAAATATTGTAAACAATTGCCCTAAAATTGAAAGCATTAGATTGTAAAGGTTTTGCTTTGTTCATCTAGATTCGCAACACCATTAGGCTTGACAGCGCTGGGATATCGATTTTTCGCGTCCTCGCCCGTTCGTGATCCCGTTACGAAGTCTCCTAGTGCTGATGCTTTAAAGCACAATCCAATTTCCCCGATCGGGCACAGCTATGGCAATAGCTTCAAGTCGTCCACGCCGACCGGACGTAGTATGCCAACTGTTGCCGAACGTTTGGCTCTGACTGCTGGCAGCAACTGCTCGTCGCCGATGCCGAACTCTGGAAGAAGCACCCCCGTTCAGACTTCATCGGGAAGAAGTACACCGACCAATTTAATTCTATCTCCGACGAAAAGCACCATGTCTAACGAGGAGCTGTTCGCCGCGATTCACAAATCGAAGAAAAGACTGAATATAAAGGACGATGGCGAAAACCAGTCGCCGTACGGATCGACCAACTCCTTGGTGAAGATGCCGCCTGGAACCAGACACAGTTGGAGTTCGGAGTCACATAAACCTCCAGTGGTACGTTTCGAATCCTTTTAGACGAATTTCTTCGTTATCAATGTTGCGAATATTATCGAGCATTGTAATGTCGCTTTCGATGGCACTTTAACTCTTCTGGTACCTTAGAGTCGATATACATCGACTTTGTGATTTTCAATACGATTCAAGCATACACATAAGAGATCAATTTGAACCCTTTGCACTCGGAGCCATTTCGTTGCACAGGATGTGCAAACAGAGATCATGTCGTATTACATAATGTGACTCATAAAGCATGTAGTTCACTGTAATGATACTTGTGCTTATATGAATCTGTAGACATTAAGGAACATATTTATGTCATAAATCAAAATTTTATACTATTCTAGTATATGATAATACACGGCCTGTCTAAAAAGAAACCGAACTTTTGGTATAAAAAGAAGAAAGTACAAGTAAAGTTTTTACCAGGGATTCCAGCACTTCGTATTATAGAATAACCCATCTAACCAGGTAACACAAGACATCTGTAACCCGAGTAACCCGGTTAATCCGGTTGTATGCGCGTTATAATAATACAGTAAAAACCATAGTTATTACCATGTTTTTAAACGGTAATCAATTTTATTTCAATATTGTCTGTTTTCTACTCTACTGTCCATGCGCGAGAAGAAGGTCATGCAAGTGCTTACATTTACTCGTATATGTGTGTGTACATATTTTGTATATATTTATTCCGTCTTTAACTTATGCCTGTTCATTGTACATTTATTATGCCAAATAATTGTTGACGTTTAAAAAGAAAGTACAAATACCGTTTCTAACAACACTCTAAAATTAATCAATCCTACATTCATTATATACTCGTACATTTTAAACAATCTAGTTTCATTTGATTTGAATATTGCCTGTGAGTTCACATATCTTTGACTTGTCTGGATGTCTAGGATGTCTTCTGCTGCTAGTAACCCACTCCGAGCAGGTTTAACCCGCTCTTCCTACAATTCAAGAACCGTTCCTTCGTGGTTAGTATGGGTTACAGTAACTTTCCCTTCATTAACCGGATTTGGGTTAGGGTTCAGCAGCGGTTCGAATCCCTGGTTTTTACACACACGTTTATTTACTCAAAATAATCTCCCTCTGCGTCAATACAGCGTGTAGACCGCGTAATTAACATTTCGAAGGGCCTTTGCAGCTCCTGTTTTGGTAGCCCGTTTAGTACGGCGGTTACAGCGGCCTGAATCTCCGAAATATTGCTACAATGTGTCCCTTTCATTGGAATTGGCATTGTTACTTGCCATAAATAAACATTGTTTTCGCTTAAGAATAACACGATATTCGTCATTTCAGGTGACACAGAATGCTCAATCGTCGTCACCAGCAACGTCACGGTTGGACTTCAAACGTTTACTGCTCCAACAGAGCGTGAAGACGGGGCCCACCAGGCTCTCGGCGGCAGAGCAACTGAAACTTTCGCGACAACAATCGCAGCAACAACAACCATCGTCGACCATCCAGCAGACGACACCATTAGCCAAAGTTCTGAGCCCTCGTTCGGTGTGGAGGTTTCAAACGCCACGAACGGACGTCTTGTCATCCACGATCATCGAGGATACAGCGGCCGAGGAGAAAGCTATGAAACCCTCCCCAGAAAACGTTTGCCCTGTTTCAAGACTGAATGCAAAGAGACAGTTGGATCTCTGCAGCGATCTTCCAGAACATTTGCGTTCCCGCGACGACTCGGGAATCATGGCTTCCGACGCCTGTAACAATAGGCTGTCAACGGCAAACGACGACATTTCCAACCCGAAGTCCGATAGAAGCGGCCAAAGACAACCCACCAGCGTAGGAAGTTGCACTGCTAGTGACAATCGTTTGATCTCCAATCTGCAAATTAGTGCTGCTGAGTGTGCATCGCCCGTTCAAAGCGTTTCAGACTCGCGTCAGCAGAACAGTGCCGTTAGTTCAGCAATCCAGTATTCGCCAAAGTGCACCCAGCTCACGCTTTCGTGCCAGCAAGCGATAAGCGCTTTCGAGTCGAGGAGGATCAGCAATCAACTGGCCAGAGCGCAATTCCTGGCTGGCACGGCGGCAAATCCGAAACAAGGCCAGAATACTTACGTCAGACAAATACTCAGATCCAGGTCTGAGTCCCCTCAGAACTCCGCGACGCAAAACGTCGCTCGCAGTCCCAGTGCCCCTACGCTGGAAACCGCTTTGTGATCCCGGCGTGCGTTATCGGCGCCGAAACATGGGACATTGAGAACCAGAATGAACGAACTTCTACGATTTCTACACTTTTCGAGAACGTAACAACCTTTGATGGCTGAATGGATTTACTGAAATTGTATTGTTTGCAAGAATGTCGAGCATTGTAATATCGCTATCGATGTACTTCAAGGGATCTGACTAGTTTGGAACCCCAACAAAATTAATCGACATAGACAATCTTAGTTTAGAATTCTAATGGATGCAACTAATTAGAACTTTAACAAGAATTTTGTTCAATATAAATGACTGATTCTATTGAAATAATTCCTGGTGTGGTTTAAGTTATGATTATTATGGAGCATTGGAATGTCGCTTTTAATTCATCCTAAGGCCTCTGATTAATCTAGAACTTCAAAATCTATCTTATAGAAAAGAATTGAAGCGAGTACTATTCTACGTAAATACAACTATTAATAAAATTAAAAAAAAAAGAAAACATAAAAATGTTTGAATATCGATAGAATTACAACATCCCATACACTAAATGCAATATTTCCAATAAAATTTTGTAGCTTTTTGGGGTTGAAATAGAATCTTTTGCAGATGTCGAGATTATTTTGGCTGGGATAATAAAATGGCATATACTGTATTCGTTTGTCCCATATCAAGCGAATCAGTCATAAAACTTGAAAAATGTCGTTTCGAAGAAAATTTTCGAATTTCGTTACAATTCTTGCAGAAAATTGTTTTTAAGATTTGAATCTTTAAGAAAACCTTCAAACTGGTCAGGCCCGGTGATTATGTTACTAATATTGTTATGGTAATCTTATTTTTATATGAAGTGTCGTTCTTCCGGTTCTTAATACCTCATATTCAACGATGAAAGTAATTTTGCAGCAGGTACATTCGAAGAAAATGATTAAAAATTTAATAATCTGAGTTGTTTTAGTCCAAATTCTATCGCCGAATCAACGACGATTTGACGAATTACAAGAGGACAATAATCTATTAAATCATGCGATCACATGATAACGAAGAAATTAGTATTACGCAGTATTGGATTACTTTTTCGACGTGAAAGTAATAAAGCAAAGCAAAGTAGGTCGAATAGTTGCGCGGAATCGAGAGTAACAATACAATTGATTTGTGTCGTTGGAATTTATTTAAAATTACCATGTATTGTATAGCTCAAACCGAAGATTTACATTACTTCTTTGAATTAATCGAATAATATATACAATGCAAATTCGCTAAAAGCAATAATGTTTACATTATATAATGCAGGCAATCTCTTTCTGAGTTTAAAGAGAAGTATAAATATATATTTTATGCTTTTGAGATTGAATGCAAAGAAAAACCAAGGGGAAATTGCTAAATTATGACGCAACATATTGTCCAGTGTGAGCATTTGAACCTGAATGAATCAATATTTAGAAAATAATGATATTCATTCATGACATTCATACGCTTTAACATTATAACGTATCGACAAGTGTCGTTGATATTTTTAACGAACGACATGTACCAAGAGTTATATTGTTTTTTCAAGGAAAGTGATGCTAAAGCCTCACAATTACTGGTTCCTCGATGAAATTTATTCTTACGACGCTCATTTGGCATTCGTATATTATTAAAAATAAAAAACACACACACACACACACACACATACACACATAATCAGACTTCTAAAAGCATATACAGCAGAACTCTGTAAATAGCACACGATGTAATTACGAATGCATTCTGCTTAAAATTCAATCGCTTGCTTGTCTAGTCGGGGTAGATTAATATCCACAGTTTCGAATTTCTTCAAACAAAGTCCATTACTCGGAATTACGCGATAAGCGCGTAGTTTGTATTATTACGAGTCAGCGTATAATAAAACTTAAGCTTTACGATTATTGGGTGGTGAATAGTAATATATTCGAAAAAGACTAATGCGTAGAGTAATAACAGAGTTGCCTTAATTAAATTATTTTAAGTTATGCCGCGATGACCGGTCGTGTATTCATAAATTGACTGCGCACTCGAGTATGCGCAGATGTAACGAGAAACTTACGGATGATAATATTAGAATTTTAAGTGAAAATGTTTTGTACTTTAATCAAAATAAAAAGAAACATATTTCATTGAAGCATGATTTTTTGCATAATTTAACCATTTATCGCGATCCTGCTGTCGAAACAATATCCTAGCTGTTGGAGTACACGGATGTCCTTTGTATGCTTCTAAGAACGAGAAATGATTCTGGGATGTTAGTCTAGGAAATCAGATCCTTATCACGTAATGGTAAAACATCAGATTCTTTAGGAACATTATTGCAGGTAGATAACATAACTATGCTTTCTGAAATTTTACACACGATTTTGAGAAAGGTTACTTGAATATTTCACGCCGTGTCCTTCATAGTTAATTACTAATCGAGGTTTACCCTCGGAAACCTCAAGGGATCGTTCTAATTTATTGGCCAAGAAAAACAATGCTTTTTTGGTAATTTTTTTTGAAATTGATATTATAAAACGATTTATTTTAAACTTTATGCGTATATTTATTATGTTTTTATAATTATATTAGAATTTTGTCAAGAAGAAATATGAATATTACATTGAACTATCTTTAATTAAAGATTCTGAAATCTGAAACACATAAAATCAACAATTTCTTAATCTGCATAAGTTTTTATCTCGTATGTACTAGGATATTTGTGATCTGTTCATTAGTTTCTTTGTTATTAACAAATAATCAACAATATTTTTGCTGAAAATCGATATTTTCCTTCAAAGGATCGCCATTTTGTCATTTTTTATTTGTTTGGAAATATCCTAGTATATACCAGATAAAAACTTATGCAGATAAGTTTCACTTGACGCGTTTCACTTGTAACGCGAGCGAGTGTGCATCGGTGTGTCTTTTTCGCACATTCAGCTGACAAGGATTTAAACAGCCCGCGCCGGAAGTCCACCTGTACATTTCAACTGCTTATATCTTAACAGCGAAGTCGGGGCAGTCCCGGTCCCCTTTCGTTCGTCGACACTCAGCAACTTAACGTGGCGTAGTATGCATCGTTTTTCAATATTGTTGCGAGCACCCTTTGGATGGATCCAAGGCCTGCTGGTGCTCGCGACCGGAACATGAATACAGCGAGAAGAAGACGATCGGATCGATCGCCTGTCAAGCTGTCAGATTCGAGCAAGACGCTATTGAGAGCAGACGTTCCGAAGCTACATTTAATTGCATTCCTATTGTACACATTTCTATTGTAAAGGTGGTTGTTATTTATTAAAGTTCTTGTTAACTCGTTATGCCGAAACTCAACAATATTATGAAAATCTCTGCCATCCAATGTATGAAGCGATCCATTCGACTTGGAACGTCATTCGTGTATCTTATTAAGTTTGTTTTATACAGCAAGAATGGTAAAAGTTATCGAATGCAGTACATTTGATCAAATTTCCCGTTGCTTTGACACAGATAGATAAGCATGAGCTACTTACGAATTGATAAAAGCAACATAGTAAGAATCCCTACAAGTACATCGATAAATGATGTTATACTGCTAACAGGTAACGGTAATGAGTCATTGTAGATACGTCAAATACAACGAGTAAGTATCGTAAGATACGCGATATACTCAATAAACATTTTTTCTTTCTTTGCGTACAAGATAAATGAATGGAAATTTTTCTCTTGGAATAGTTTCAACGTTATCGCTTCTTATTAAACAGAATATGTAACTCCTTCTTGTCGTGCATTACGCGAAAGTACTTTGCATGCCATATTTACGAGCTTTTTGCAATGAATTAGAAAAGTGCTGCTTAAACAGTTATCGTTCGATGTTATCTATAGAATATCGTGTTGACCATGATATCGCAGTCGCTGTACTTCAGTGAAAACCTGAAATAATAACGTTATCGCATAAGTTATCAAAGTTATATATTTTGTTACGTTCACGAATGACATTTATTTTTTAATTTACTTATCGGCAGGGCAGAATTTAGGTGTAGACAGAAGGGTTTTTATATTCATTATCAATGCATGGACTTATTATGGATACCATTGCTCATTATCAAAGCATGGACACCTATTGTGGAGAAGGCAGGGCCAGTTATAATATATATATTTTATATGAATAGATAGCAAATAAAATGTAACTAAATTATGATATAATAAAGGGTTTCATCGAATTCAGACCGAACATACGTGAAATAGTACAATTTTGCGATGAAAAGTACAATAAAGTGGTAAAAAATGGAAGAAGGTCAAATATATTTTTAAACTTTTAAGAGGCAACGAAGTCCTACCAGATGCAAGAAGATTCAATTCGATTGGTCAAATCGTTTCGGAATAAGAAGCAATACAAAATTTTTCGGTTTTTTGCAACAAAAAAAACGGGTAAAAATGAGAAATCCTCAAATTTGTTGATAATGGCACCACCTCGGAGACATGCTCTACAAGACGCAACTGGTTTTATTCCGATTGGTCAAGCCGTCTCGACGTAATCGAGTAATATACATAAAAAAAAAGTAAATAAAAAAAAATATATACATGTCAAATTGAGTAACCTGCTCCTTTTCGAAGTCGGTTAAAAAATGAAACTACTTTTAACTTCTAATCAAATACATACAATCAATAATTATTCATACTCGTAATTCAGAAAGTAAAACGATTGAAAAATATCTTTCTAACTTAGACAATAGGCTACTTTTTTTAAATCGTTGTAATGCTTTATTTGTTTGTACCGCCACACAAGAAACCAAATAAAGATATTAAAATAAACACAATGCATTAATATTAATATTAATATTCATTTGCATCAATGACCACCGTACATGCACAAAGTTTGTTTATTATTTTCTAACGTAGAATATTTCAAAATAAATATATATTTACCGTAAAATGAACAATTTAATTCAATATTACATAGATTCTACTTTCACGTTGATTTATCATGAATAACGGGTTAAAATATGATTAGATGTCCGATACGAGCATCTGCCAATCTTGAACGTTAACAACGGTAACGCAAGATAAAAGAATGTATCGAACGATAAAAATAACTGGTGGTCGCTTGCATCTCAGTGATTCAGATTGATAGTTTCGAGGAATAGAATAAGGCCGATCTAAGACCTTCTTCCTCGAGTAACGTTCGCGTTTTCTTCTGGCTCCTTGAAGACTTCTACTTCTTCTTGAAGAGTCGTTCTTAACTAAAGTCGGAGTTCTTCGATGTAGAGAGGGCATGCCTGAAAAGAGAGGGGATATAGAGCTGGTACCGATCATCACGCAAGTATGATTCATCTCAGATCCGTCAGAGGAACCATCGTCTACCTGACGGACTCTATCTCAGAAACGGTAAAGACAAGAGGAGTTTAGTTGAAACTTTTATTTTAGAAGTTCATCGAACTATTGTGAAAGAATTTCAAAGAATATTGAGGACATCACGACACCTACTGACGAGTTTTCGAACGATCTAAGACACAACGTATACCAAACCGCATGCATGATTGACACATGTCATCGATCTTGGATCGTTCCAATACAATTTCCAAGAAAGTAACATAGAGAAGTGATCGTTTAATTGAAAATTGTGACATAAAATCGTTACATCATGGGATGGACATTCTATTTCTGGGTGATATTTTTGATAACTGTATTCGAACCAGTCGCACCATTTACTGTAAGTCCTGAACAAACGTTAAGTGTAAATGAATTGAAAAATGACAATGACTATTCGTCGTATCGACTACCGAAAGAAATCGTACCAATTTCATATGATCTTTGGATATACACTCGATTGGGCTTGAATGACTTTGCGTATCAAGGTTGTGTGAATATAACTTTGAAAATCCTCGAAGCGATCGACACCATTGTGGTCCACAACGATGGCCTAATAATACACGAAGGGGAAACATCTCTACGCCAACGAAGAGAGGAGACGTTGGATTCGATTAATTTCCCAGTAGGCGATCAAAGTCACGATAGTCAGAGGCAATTCCATATTCTGAACTTTCAAACAAAATTGGAGCCTGGTGTATACGTTTTGGGACTTCACTTCGAGGGTGAAGTGCGAAACGACGTATTTGGCTTTTACAGGAGCTCTTACGTTGAGAATGGAGAAACGAAGTAACTTAATTGTCATATTACACCTGTTATTGACCTTTCTGAGACGAGGAAAAGTTTGAAAGCGACAAATTTCTAGGTGGATGGGAGTAACTCAGTTCTCACCGACGTATGCACGCCGAGCATTTCCCTGCATGGATGAGCCTCACTTGAAAGCGTTCTTCACTCTCCATGTTGGCCATGTTGGAAATCAAATGGTAACCAGTAACACTGCGATCGAGACTACAACGAAGGACTCGTAAGTTTTTTGCTTTGCAAATGCAAGTGTTAACTCTATATATATTCGCTTTTGTTATCCTCTCTTCCTTTATTTTACTCTATTCAATTAAAAAAAAACAAATAATAATCTAGACTTCTTATGTAACGATTACAGAAATATCAATTTTATTTTTATAAATTTAAAATAGATTCTATATAATAAATGATTTGTAAAAAGAAGTAAGATCCGATAAGAAACTTCAAAAAAGTAAAAAAATTACGTCAAGTACATGAAACAGTGGAGGACTCAAGGAGTTATCATTGAAAAATAGAAGATCCCCATAAAAAAGTACAAGAAAGTAGAAAAATATGTGAAATCGAAACGAGCTGTCAGATGATTTGCCTAGATTTCCGCGGCCTGGAAGTCAAATGCTTGGGGTGGCCAGCCAAGGTCAAAGTGTCGATGAATAAGAATTATTTTAAAAAGCAAAATAATAAAAGTGTACTCATATTGTCAGAGTTTTAAACTGACAAATTATCTGAAAGCGAGAGTAAAGGTATTGGCGTCGATGAATGACCTTAGAAATATTTTAAATCCCGATACAATGAAAGTGTACTCAAAATATTGTCAGAGTTTTAAATTGACCAATTACCTGAAAGTCTATAAAAGAGAAAGTATGGGTATTGATGATTTAAGAATGTCTTGCCTGGCCACGCCAAGCATTTGACTTCCAAGCCGCAAAAATCTAGGCAAATCATCTGACAGCTCATTTCGATTTCACATATTTTTCTACTTTCTTGTAGGTTTTTATGGAGATTCCACAGGATCTTCTATTTTTCAATGATAACTCCTTGAGTCCTCCACTTTTTCATGTTTTCACTGGTACGCCAATACATTCCAAGTGTCACTCGATCTCGTCACTCTTATATTTCTCTTCGACTTTCTTTTTCCACAGGAAATCGAACCCCAAAGAAATCAACGAGTCACTGTACCTAGTACATGAAAATAAACTTTCCACTATCTTTACCTAACGAATGTTCACCTATTTGCCTACTGTTTTACTAATTTAAGCGTGTCGAGTTTCAGGCATCAAACGAATTATTACGTCACGACGTTCCTAACTACGCCCAGGATGTCCACGTACCTAGTCGGATGGGCTGTCCACGATTTTGCCGCGGAGACATCTGTTTCCTCGAAGAATTTCAAAATGTGGACAAGGGGATCCATGAATCGACGCGCGTCGATCGCTTTGAATCAAGGTGTCCCGATATATTCGTTTCTGAATGGCTGGTTCGGGATCGATAATCCAATTCCGAAAATGGACCAGATCGCCGTTGCTGATTTTAATTTCCACGCGATGGAGAATTGGGGCATGATCACCTATAGAGAGACGGTGGTGTTATTCGAGGACGGCGTTACACCTACCAAGTACATGTTCGACGGATTCACCACGATGGCTCACGAATATGCCCACACCTGGTTTGGAAATCTCGTGACGCCGATGTTCTGGAACGTCGCCTGGCTCAAGGAGGGCTTCGCGTCTTATTTTCAGTACTTTGCTGTATCTTCGGTGCAACCCAGTTGGAAGGTGATGGACAAATTTGCAGTAGACATCCTACAACCGACGCTTGTTTTGGACTCAACGAATCACACTAGAGTCATGAACGGACGAAACGTGGGAAGTCCTAGTAGCATCATGGATGTGCTGGATTTCGTTTCGTACAAAAAAGGTGCGTTTCAATTCGTACTAAAGTGGTTCATCGTTGTCCAACTAACATTGATACATTTTCATGTGTCAGATACTTGAGAATTAATTAACAATTAAATAAACTACGTGTAACGTATATAACAGGGGTAGACAATCTTTAGCATATCATGCGCCATTTTTTTTTCACAAACGAGTTCAGATGCGCCGCACAATTTAACTCTTTATTTACTTACGGGACTTAATAAGTCCCGTCAATTTTCTCGTGGTACTAATATATTAATTAAACGCTTTGAAACCTATTGTGACTTTCAAGTCCACTTCTATGAAGTTTGTTTTTAATTGTTGGGTAGCAGCACAAGCTTTTTTTTGGAAGCTTGTTAAAGAAAACTCTATAAGATGATATAAGATCAAGATGGACGCCTAGGTTTTAAAAAGTTTTGAGAAATTCAGTAAATAAAGGGTTAATGTTTTAGGTTGATGGTGCTGCTAACCGTCATGAATATTGTCATTGGTTATCAGTAGACTGCGGATCTTTATGCATTTATAGAAAATTTGAATGTGCAAGAAACTACAAAATGCAAACAATATGCAAGAATATAAAAGAAATTGAAAAGTAAAGTTCATATTATAATGTTTGCAGAATAAAAGAAATTTCTATTTAGTTTCAATTTTTGTAGGCACGTTTGCCAAGATTTTATTTTGCATAAAGATCCGCAGTCTAATTATCAGACACATTATATAATTAAAACGTTTTCGTCAACTTGTAAAAAAAACGTTGTATTTTGTCGTATAGTTTGGTGTTCTTGAGGAATTTTATCGTGTTTTCGACGTGGTCCTTTGATGTGACCGTTCCAATTTCTTCTATGCCGTTTCTTCGTCTATGTTGATCAAACTTGGATGGCAGCACAAGCTTCTTTTCCTTTGGAAGCTTGTTAAAGACAACTCAATAAAATGATATAAGGCCAAGATGGATGTCTAGATTTTAAAAACTTCCGAGAAATTCAGTAAATAAATTAAGCTCCTTTTCTACCTTCTTACGTTCATGGATGAAGATCGGAGAATAAAGATAGAAGCAATATCTTCATCGCTTAGGGATAGAAAAGGAATAACTCAATCATGCAACTAAATTAATTAATTTACGCCAGTCCAAAAGATACATGGTTATTGGAGCACCAATAAGCTCGGGTAGGCCAACCCTTGGTATACAAGAAGCATGTACCTTATATGCATCTAAATTATGTGTGTAATATATGTATTTATATGCATAGTTTTACATCTTATTACATGTACCGAAGTAGTGTATCTACTATGTATATATACATACATATATTCGTATATTTTCTATTGATAGTCATTTCCATTTTCAAGCAGCTTCATGATATTGACACTTTGTAAATATTAGTTGATTATTCTTTTATATTTCGTTATATTCATGAACATATCAATTAATAAGTATTGTATACAGTATACAATATTATATTTAATATCCAATTAAACAAATCTAATTTAAAATAAATATATAAAATTGATTAATTTAACATCTTTAATATCCATTATAGTAATTACTCTGTTAAGTATCTTAATTTTAAACTCTCATCTGTGGATAGTATTAAACAAAATCGTTATAAAAATACTCCCTTTGAATATGGATTTGATCACGATTGCCTTTATCAATTTAAATTAATTAGTTTTCGTGTTTCATACTGTACTAACTTGTATTACATTAATTCTAGTTTTAACTTTATGTTTATAATTAGAATGATTCTTAAAATTATGTGTATATACTTTTTTGATTAGAGTAAAATTAATAACACTAATTTGCAGTCTTAATTAGAAGATTACCTCGCTGAAAATTGAAATCGTTTATTTTAACACGTATCCAATTGAATGAGAATATATTGCTCGTATTGCTACTGTTCTTGGAAGTAATCATTGTTTCTCGATGCAAATTTTTCGTTTTGCTTTAGGCGCATCAGTGATCCGTATGGTCTCCCACGTGATTGGAGAGCCAGCTTTTAAGAACGGCCTACAAAGTTATCTCAGAAACATGTAAGCATAGAAAACCAGGTATTCAAAGAGTATACAAAAATTTGTTAATCAATTTCTTTAATCTTCAAATATATGTATAAGTACAACTGTACCGAAATGCCTTTGCTGATTAAAACTGATAAATGCGATAATAAACTAGACAAGTACAAGATATTATCTCAAGCGTATCTACAGGGTGTATCCTAACGTGCGAAGCTCGTTTCAGTGGTATGCGAAACATCCATAAAATCCAAAAGTTGTGTTGATTTCAAAAATATCTAATATGTTGTTTTTGTTTACAATTTGCATGCGTGTGGAATATCGAAAAATATTTCACACATATTTCTTTATATACACTTTTCTATTTCGTTTGTGCGTAGGTCATACCAAGCAGCCTCGCCATTAGATTTGTACGAATATCTGCAACGTTCCTCGGACAAGTTAGGCCAATTACGGAACGACATAGTTATTAAAGATATAATGGAATCCTGGACAGATCAACCAGGATTCCCTTTAGTGACGGTGACGCGGAATTACAAACAGCAAATACTCAACGTGTCTCAGGAACGATTCTTCCAAAATCGCAGCGAATGTATAAAAGATCACAAAACTCCAAGGTGGTGGATACCATTGAATTTCGTTACAAAATCGTCGCTCGCTGATTTTTCGCACACAGCTGCGAAAGAATGGCTGAGACCAGAAGATAAAATGTTGGTTATCAACATCAGTCTTTCATCCGAAGACTGGGTGATTTTTAACGTTCAGCAAATTGGATATTATCGAGTGAACTACGACGAGAGAAATTGGCGAATGCTTATTGATTACCTGAGATCCGGAGATTTCATAAAGATACACAAAGGAAACAGAGCCGCGCTGTTAGACGACGCGTTCAATCTGGCTAGAGCAGGATACGTAGACTATTCGATCCCATTCAATCTTTCTAGCTATCTAGTTCAGGAATTTGACTATGAACCCTGGGTCAGTGCTGTAAATAATTTCAAATTTTTGAACAAAATGCTGAGCAGCGTACCGGACGTACAACGCGATTTTCAAGTAAGTGTTGCATCGTATCTATGAATTTTTTTTTGGAAAAGATATCATACAAAACATTGTTTGGTTCGAAGGGAAAATGTCCTGATGAACAAACAAGTTCTTTCAAGATCATATTATTTGAAATTTCAAGGTCATTGGCGTACTTTAAAATGGAACTATATATATATATTCATCATCACGACATGATAAGCGAAGCCAAGACGAATTCAACGTTTTACAGGGTGTTCCACCTAACTCTTAAATCTTAAACATCTCGCGTGTCTTTTGTGATAGGAAAAAAATGTCAGTGAAGAACATTGTTTGGTTTGGAGGGGGACACAAAAAAGACAAAAAAAAAAATGATCTCAAGGTCATATTTTCCCAGATTTCAAGGTGATTGGCCTCTTTTTAAAAGTATGGACGTTTTCGTTATTGTAATCTTGTAGCTGATAAAAAAAACAAATTGAAACATGTATAATATGTCGACTTTCAAATGACCTTGTGAGGAGTTATTCTTATAAAATCAATGAGATTTGTAGCTAAAATGTGTACGTCATTCTAAGGCCGGGACCACACCATGCGTTTTCGCCGCTGCGGCGAAAGCGGACGCGATTTAACCGGAAGGCTACTACATGATACATTGCTGCGATTTTAACGCAGTCTCGTCTGAACTATCAAAACGATAACATGAATACGAATACATTTTTCAAAATTACGTGTGCTATGGAAGCAGAAGGGTTCTTGCGTGAACCGATACGAGGTAATTATTGGGTTCATCCATTTTTTTCAGAGCGAGAATCTAAAAATGGATTTCAAAATTTGTTTGCTAACATCCGCAACTTTAAGGATAAGTTTTTCAGTTACTACCGAATGTCGATAAATTCATTCGATGAATTACTAGAAATTTTAAGACCACATATTTCGAAACAGAATACAAACACACATCGATAAAAATACATAAGAACGATGCGGCAAAACCGTGTAGAGTGAACAGGGACCATATGAATACACGTGTTTTGACATGTCTCCGGCGCGATGCAGCGGTCCGGTGCGTTCAGCGTGCCGCAGTCTGCTGTAGGGATGGCATGAAAAATCACTAACAATGATTTTTCACGGTGATCACACAATCACGATCGCAGTCGTGATTAAACTTCGATCACGACCGTGATCCGAAAGATGGCTTTTCAGAAGCGGTTTATGTTAATTATTATCGTTAGTGTATCACTGTCTCCCCTTAGCGGAAATTCAAGAAGCTACAAATGAGTTAAATTTAAATTGTATTAAAATTATATTAACATTGCTTTTAGACCATATTATAATACATATATAACCTAAGAACAACATAATTCGTGAAAAGTGAAAACAATGTTCTGTACTAATCAGAAGGGATCACGAAGAATCACGAATCACTGTGAAAAATCATCGTGATTGAGAATGAACGTGATTGAATCACGAGTGATTCAAAAGTAGCAGTTCACGCCATCTCTAGTCTGCAGCGGTGGCGTTCGACGAATGCGGCAGCGCCGCACTAGTGTAGCACCTCTCATTTGAATCTACGCAACGTCACAAACCGGATGACCGCATCCGTCACAACCGCAGCGGCAAAAACGCACAGTGTGACCCCGGCCTAATAATACAAAGATGTGTCTCAAGAGGAAGGCCAATCGCACACGGGCGCAACCGATCAGTTTCAAACCACTCTGAAACTAGTTGCATGCGATCGTGGATCTAGGTAAAACAAAGATAGTGGGGTAGCTAAAACAAAGAGCGCAAACGGTTTGCAACACTAATTTTAAATCGGTTGCGCCGTGTGCGATCGGCCGAAGATGTTTAGTTTGAAAGGGCGAATGTCGCCGTAAGAAAAAAATTTGTTTCAAGAACATATTCGACAAAAATTTCAATTTTTATTATTTGCATTAAATTGCCCAAATTTTATGAATTATCTCGTGCTCAAGGTCACAACGAGGTCATAGCGTTAAAGGTCGTTGAATTTGTCTCGATCTCGGCAATTACCGTATATCGCGGTGATAAAAATACGTAGTCTTATTTGAAAAAACTTCAACGACCTTGAAATTTTGACGAGTATGACCCTGAAACAAATTTTTCTTCCTACCGCGATATTCGCCCTTTCAAGCTAAACATCTTACTCTTGAGACATATCTTTGTACCATTGAAAGTAACATACACATTTTAGCTACAAATCTCATTGATTTTTTAAGAATAACTCCTCACAAGGTCATTTGAAGGACGACACATTATATCTGTTTGGATTTGTTTTTTTATCAACAACAAAATTACGATAATAAGAAAGCCCACACCATTTAAAGAAAAGGCCAATGACCTTGAAATCTCGGAAAATATGACCTTGAGACCATTATTTTGTCTATCATAGTATGCCCCACTCCAAACCAAACAATGGTTTCCACTGACAGTTTTTCCTATCACAAAAAACACACGAGATATTTATGATTTAAGAGTTAGGTGAGACACTGTGTAATATGACCTTCGCGTGACATTGAATGTCAATGACCTTCACATTTAAAAAAATTTAACCTTGACAAAAAGTTTTGGCTCCTATTTGTCTCTCTGAAGAAAAACAATGTTTTCCGGTGACATTTTTTAATAAAAAGTATACGAGCTATCTATATGATGGAAAAGTTGTGTTGGGACACCCTGTATAAATTTCATTGATATATAAATATTGTGATTACAGAAGTATGTGCGTCGTTTGCTGGAACCAATCTACAAAAGATTAAGCTTTAATCAATCTCCGCACGATGATCTTGTGGCTAAATTACATCGAGAGATAATTCTATCGACTTCCTGCTCGATGTGCAACCCCGATTGTCTGAGGAAGTCTGAAATTCTGTTTCAGAAATGGATTCTAGCGCCCGACGAACCGTATGAAACATTTTACATTATATCACAGCCGAACAATTACAACCGTTAATCGTGTTCAACACTAGGTTCACAGAGCACGGCCATTTTGACCAATTCCAAATTTTACAAGGATATTTACAGAAACCATTTAAATATTTTATCTACCACTTATGCTGATTTTTATCTATATAAAGTGTCAAGCATATATTCAAATTCATTTTCATTTATATTTTCTAATCAATTCCAGTAAATCGATTTCACTCGTAAAAACAATAATTCGACAATAGAGATCTGATAAGAAATCTCCGTAAACCTATTGTTAACGTAAACCCACTCGACGTAAACATTCAATTACTTCTAAACTGTTCTTACTGCGAAAAAATTGCTTAATCACTAGTTGCATCTTATCGAGAATGGAGATACAGTGTATCCTACGAACTCTTATCGCCTGAATACCTTCGTTACTTCAAACAATGTACGAAAATGTTTCGAACAGGAGCTGCAAGGTTTTGAACAGGTGCGGAGGCAATGAGAAAATTACATTCGATGTGAACAAAATATACATAGATGCAACTTATAATTCAATGGGAACAATTATGTGAATTAAGTTATTCCCTAGTTAATATTTAATGTAATCAGTTTCTGGTTTTAGAACTGTCGTGTCATATCTAGGTGTACTAACTAATCTCTGATAACGCTATTTTGTAGTATTGTCTTTAAATTCACCCATTGCGTTTGGACGCAGTTTCGCAATATGTCGTGATTTGTATCGTTCAACTATTTAATAACAATATATTAGGGGAACCAAAAAGTAATGTCGTTTCTGCGAATGTCCATACTTGTTTGTCATTTGTCAGCTCATTGTGTACCAATTGGTTTTCATCAATCTGGCACTGAAAATTTGCACACCAGATAGCAAAAGGCTGTTGGTAACGAGAACGATTACATAATTGATTAAAAATAAAAATTTGTTACAAATTTATTTATTTGAATTCAATGTAAAAGAAACGACATTACTTTCTGGTTCCAGTTGACCAATTTATGTCTTATAAACATTCACAGAAAATTTTCTTTCATAGAAAACTATTCAAGTTTGTTTTGAATGAAGCAATCGATATTGTTTATAATCTGGATAGCGATTGTTTCGTTCTACGTTATCATTGAACTTGGCCAAATATTGGAATTCGTACTTCTTTGCAAGATCACAAATTTTTATAGACATAAATGGGTTAATGATTGTTGGTATAGCGTAGATCAATGTTACCTTCTCTGTACGTAATCCACTTTTTTTACGGTTGTTACCATTTGCTTTAAACTAGGATTAATTCTGTGTCATTCCAGTAAAGAAATGATTTTTTTCAAAACGAAATCAAACAACTCTTGTTCGACACTTTTTCTTTTATCGGTAAAAGTAAGCGGAATTATTCAGGTGGCCTGTTTTAAATGCCTCACCCTGTATACACCCTGTATATTATACGAACACTGTCATGGTCACCAGATTAAAATGTAGGTTATGCAATATACAAATTCATTGCAATGGAGATTAGGTGGAGAACTTAGAATGTTTGTACTTTAACTTATCAAAGTGACGAGTAAATATTTTCATTTAAACTAAATATATAAATGATTGAGCATGAAAACACAGAAGTAATTTCTACGTCAAATATTCATGAAAATTGTTATAAGACTAAAAAGTAATTGTGAGACAATTGAAAATGACATGATGTAACATTTGTTAATCTGTTCACAAATTTTCGCGTTGCATAGGATATTGCAAGATGTGAAAAGTTTCGTTTACTGCGAGGGAATACGTAACGTAGACGAAAAGGACTGGTATAGAACGTTGGGTAGATGGCTACTGTTTACCGATTTACTCACCGAGCAAGAACTACTGCTGCAAGCTCTCGCGTGTACACGAAAAGCAAATTTGATTAATAAGTATGTTTTCCGTTAACGTTCGAGCTATCTTTCGTCGATACGGCATGGACCTTTAAATTTCGTTCACATCAGGTACCTTATGCTATCTATATCGGATGAGGAAAACATACGCAAACAATATAGGATCGCCATCGTTAACTCTGTTTTGGAAGCAAGTGCGACGAACGTCAAATACGTCTTGGAATTCACTCGACACAATTTCCAGAAAATTATTGACTCGTGCGTAAATTTTACAAACACTTCGCGTCTTTCTTATCTACAATCGCGGGCTATTTCGCGATAAGTGTGATTTTCGTTTTTTTGCAGTAGAGGATATGACTTCCTAAGTAAAGTGATTAGCGCAATTGGGAGCGCGGTGACTGAAGAGGAACAAATAGAACAGGTATTACTCAGCATTATTTTTGAGCATATTGTCGTTAAGAGGATATTCTATTATAGAGCGTTAATTTTCAGGCATTTTTTTTTTTTTTATTTTCCTTTCTTCAATCCATAAGGAATTTTTTGATCGTGCATTGCACACATACTTATTCATACTTTAAAAATATGCATCATTTAGTTTTAATGAAAATAATAATAATTAATAGAATACGTAATAGAAGTGATTTTGTACATTCCTTTTTTAGAAAGTCAAATTTCAACCGTTCTGTTTATCGGAAATGAAAATATCAAGAAACATATTCATTATTGTCAGTGGAAATTTAAAAAACTGGAAAAATTAAGAACCTTAAATATGATTTTTTTTACGTTTTCTCGCCTTTAACGAACTGAAAAAAGGTAAAGGAGAATCTGATTTTGAAAATCGGCGTTCGGATAATAAAGGCACATGTGCTGAAGCTTTACTTCAAACTTCAAATCATTCGGTTAATTAGATCTGGAGATATCGTGGCAACCCTCTGGAAAAATATGGTTACGAAAAAATCGCGTTTTGAAGTTTTTCATGTCAGATACATAGTCGCCAAGAAATTTCAATTTGAAATATAGAAAAAAAAAACAAGGTCACAATGATTTTTTTTAATGGAACCATATATTATGTGCTTAATAGTTTTGTAGTCGATATGAAGACGAATTCGACGACCTAATATAATATGACCTTGGTATGACGTTGATTTATAAAATCGTCGTGGATCAGATTCCACGACATTTGAAGTTTAGACTATTTCGAATGTGAATACTCATTTAAGACTTATTAATTTACTGTGTGAAAGTATCCGAGTCATTAGGATTATTTAATTCGATTATTTAATTCAACGCCATATCAACGTCATTTTGTATCAGATTGTCGAATTCGTTTTGATATCGTGTACAGAACTATCGAGATCAAAATATATAGTTCCGTTTGAAAAATCATGGCGACCTTGTTTATTACTATTTTTCAAATTGCAATTTCTTGCGGATTAAATGATGATTAACTTGAATTTGTTCGAAACATTTTTTTGTTTAGTTATCAAAACTGGCTAGATAATCGTTGGGGTTGACCTATATGTTACTGATTAATGTTATATTACTATATACCGTTCTCGTTATACGTCCCAAACTTCCTTAATTTTCCAAATTCGACGAAATCATTTGGCAGACATACTTTCAAAGATCAACACTTTGAGAAAATGCCAAAAATATAATAGATTTTCATAATGTTCTAGACTATAATACCCCATTAAGTCTAATAACTCACGAGCTTCCGTTTGCGCGTACTTGAAGATTATTATAAAATATAAGCACTCTTGATGTTGCAGCTGCGTTCATTTGTCGACGAAAAGTTCGAAGATCTTGGTGCAGCGTTGAGCGCTGCAAAGAAGGCAATTATCGTGTCTACGGCAAATATGGAATGGGTTAAGAAGTACTCGTCCAGTATCGCTAGATGTTTTCGTTAATTGTAAATTGGTTGTAATTCAGTAATTTTCTATTATATTTTGATAAGTAACGAGTCTGAACATCTGATGGGTTAATAGATATTGTTAAAAATAAAGATTAAATCTGTTACCAATGATTACAAACATTATTTTAATGTTGTTACCTTTAATATATTATAAGTGATTACAATATATTCTTAAAAGAATGATTAGAGTCCAACAAGGGTAGTGAAGTCATCAATGATTACTTCATACGGTACGATATACAGTACAATAAAACAAAGAATTCTATACCTTTTCGAATAATCATGTATAGATTGTTGTCATTATATTACAATATTCTGAAAACCTCACTATCCGAATTCTATTCTGCAAATACATTTTATTTTTATTCATTTATCATTTCAAATCATTAATTACGATTCCCACATCATCGATAATTTGATTAGAATTTTCATTTAATATATTTATTAAATTAGTCTTTTATATTTATATCTTGCATTTATAGCGGTGAAATGCTTGCGCTACATTTTTTTAGAAAACTATAATTCCCAATGTATTAGTTTGATATGAAATTGATAATCGTATCTGTTCGTATCTAATAATGGCATTAATTGAGTATACATGTATACATGTATGTATGTATAGCCATTTCAGTAGTGCAAATTATATAGAAAGAAATGTAATATCATTTGTAAGTTGAAATGTAATAAGTTTGTAGAAGAACTTTAATAAAGACAAAATATATGGATATAAAGTTTTGATTTTACTAAAAATGTCTTCGAAGCATTAATAGTGATAAAAAAAAAATAAGATAGGTGGTTTCTGGCATGAAAAGAACTGAAAGTTTCTTTTATTATTACTTTTCCTTTTGAATGTTATATATTTTCATTGCATTTAAACAGAAAACGAATAAATGTACTTACATTATAAATACATTATGAAAAAAGGTGTTCAATTATTGGAAAGTCTACCCAAGTCTATGTATTTACTTTAATACGATACTTTAATTTCTAAACTCAGAAACCAGGTATGGGAATAAAAATAGAGGCAATAGAGTCATAGAAAATATCGTTGGTATTATTAATTTCATTAATGTTCCTGTTGCTGAATAAAATCCTGAACCTTATCGAATAAACTTGTAGGCATGTCTGATATTGCGAAAGTTTTAAATAATTTCGACATGACCGTTTACGAGGTATCTAGATTGAATGAATCATTCTTGGAATTTTTGTCTGGGTTTTTGTGTGTTACGGGTTAATCTACGGTACCGATTTTGATTAAATCGTCGTTATTCTGTTCCGTATACATCAAGGAATGCGTCATTCAATTATTGCACCTCAGAACAAATAGGTCGAGTACGAAGCAATTGTATATCAATTTCAGTGATGTTTCTTTTTTTTTACGACTAGAGGAGTCAAAAACACGTTTAAAAGGTATTCGCAAAGTAAAATAACTTAAAATGTAAGCCATTAAATATCGCAAAATTTCAGCTGAAAGGAAGGGGGAGAATTGTTGTGAACGTCAGCGATAAAGTGTACGATATCTCATTTACATCAGATTTTACAGAAAATTCATTTTACCATCAAACTTATTGGAAATTGAATTTAGTGTCCCTCTTGTTGCATACAACACAGATAAAATTCTAGCCCATCATACTGTTATTGCACAAGGGTAAATAGGAGCAGAGCCCTGTTTATTTGTGATTCAACCATCGAATCGACGAACACTGTATTCTTATGTCGAATAATGCGAGTGATTTGTTACTTCCTCTTCGACAAAAACTTAAAAGAAAGCGAGTAACGACTAGTCAGTAAATACCTTTCTTTTGGAAAAGGCAACAAATCGAACGTTATATTGTTTCTCTGATTGTGTATTTGAAAAAAATTAAATTTATGTGTTGCTTAATGCCATTAATGCTGTATTATATCGAAACGAAACAAATTTTTATTCTTTAATTCGTCATGTCAGAGAGTGTTTGAATCGAATTCTGTAGTATTCTGATACACTGGGCAAGCGTTTTATAAACAATGTTTAATATTCACGGTGGAATCTACGCTCTAATGTTTTCTTTTATGAAACTTGAAAGACATCGTTTGAAATTTTCACTAAAAAACTGCTTTCTAAATTCAATTATTTTTCTTCGATTGACGTTTTTACTTTTTCTATATAATCATTGTAAAATGCATTTAACGCCATCTTCCACCTTCCGTCTTCTTCTGGATCTGAAAAATATATGAATAGGTACAAATTGGTTTTATATATGTATAATTTTTGAATTTCTGAAAAATCCTTTGAGATTCGTTCAAATATTATCGAAGACAGGAATATACTCAAATTTGCACAAAATCTGAGATGCTGCTCCGTTATTAAGTAATTACTGCAGTGTTTATGTAAGTATACAGTTTATAGTGTGAACTAGGCCTGTAACAAAATTTGTATTTGTCAGGGACCCCTTTTGTTATTTAGTTTATCATACTAGCTGCGCCCCGCAGTTTCGCTCGCGTGGAATACTATTCTTATTCTACGTGTATATCACGTTCGTGATTGCATTGTTCACTCACGTAGGTACAATGATTATTGTAGTGTTTATGCAAGTATGTAGTTAGGTACTTCGTAACAGCTGAACGCATTTAACAGGGTGTAGGATAGATTTTTAAATGTAAATGTTAATGATGAATTCGGTCGTGTAATGAATGACCTTCAATTCATTTCTTTGTGAATTATTTTCATTTTTCATTGTCTTCTAAAATATGCGACCAAACAACATGCTGCAAAGGGCAAATTTGATCTTCATGATATTTCCCAGATGATAAAATGATTCATTTTTATAAAGATTAATATATTATACCTAATACGTACCCTTAAAATCCACTTGATAATTTTCAATTAATTTTTAACATAATAAATGTTATTGTGGTTTGAATATAAAAGCTAGGTATATCGTGTCGCTGATTTTTTTTCTAAATAATAATAATTTTTTTATGGATAAGCAATATTTTTGTATTACATTATTTTCACGTATATCCAACCATTTGGTCAGCGTATGCCGATAAAGTAGCCGAACAACGCTTTTCTTTCGACGTGATTTACAATTTTTGAGATTTCCAACTGAAAACGTATTTTTATCAAAATAAAACACAGCTTATATTACTCAGGGATAGTGTAGCTTTCTATTACTGAAAAAAATTTTTTAAATCGGTTCGGTAGTTCCGGATATTATCCCCTACAAACAAACAAACAAACTTTACCTCTTTATAGTATTAGTATATTAGTATACACGTACGTTGTAATGGTCATTAGGTTGAGACTTGGGTTATACAATTTACAAATTCATTGTAATGGAGAACAGGTGTGGAACTTACAAGGTTGGTACTTTAACACTACAAAATGACGAGAAAAATATGTCTACTTAACCATCAGTTATAAATGATTGAATATAAAGGCAGAGAATTAATTTCTACGTCATAAAAAATAAAATAGAAATATGGAAATGAGAAAGGCAGTACTTCTTATAAGTGTTTGTAGTTATATGAATTCGAAAGCAAAAGTCGTCGAAAGGCATCTTTTAGTTGAAATTGGTATACGTGAAAGCGCGGTAGAAATAATGTTAAATCAAGTTATGCGATCACTTAACACGGTACAGTACTATTCAAGCGATACCGGTGATAAAAAAAAAAAAGAAACGAGCTGTTGTTCATTGGTGGAATCGCGCTATCCTTCGATTATCGTATTATCAATAAATCCGACAATTCAAAAGCAGAGGTGAACGTGTTTCATGGAAATTTCAGGAATAATAGCTCATTTAACGGTCACTATCCGACGATATAATAATTCCGATCGTGACAACAAGACGGTTGATAAGATTAGAGAAGCCACAGGCGTATTTTCGATAATAGTCCTAATGTGAGTGCCTTATAAAGCACGAACATTTGTACGTGTAGTCTTTCGAAAGGTGATCGCCGACGTACAATTCAGTTGTCGGCACTTGCAGCCGACCAGCATTCGTTTATTTAAGAGGTATGTTATCGATATTATTACCATAAATCGAACGTAAATTCAATTAACCTTGGTATTAGGCATTATCTAGTGAATAAGTTTTAGTGATTTTCGAGAATTGTTTTAAGGTCGATTAAGAAACGCGATTAGAAAATAGAAATAGAATGACGGGTCTTTGTGGATTCCTTATTGGAAAGAAACAATTGGAAGTCAAGTTTTTTGTTACACCATGAAAACGCATTTCACTTTTACAAACAATTTAAATTGAATATACTTGAAGTACTATGTTGAACTGAAGTAATGGAATATTTGCAACAAGTGAATCGACCTGCGATATAAATCTAGTCTCACGTTTAATAAATTTTTGTATTTAAGAAGACCTTAGTCTACGATAAATCCATTGGCATTGCGTCTAATACATTTTGTGTTTTGTTAAGCAGAAGTAGCCCAAGTGGATTGACCGTTGAATGGATTTTGGTCAATCCATGATGTCAGGTTTAGTGTTGCTGCCGTTGCTGTTGCTCTCTGCCATTAGCGTTCAGGCGACTACCAACTATTACAGATTGCCGAATTATGCCAATCCTTCGAAATATAACATTATATTGGAACCAGATTTAGTCAACTGTAAATTTAACGGCACAGCTGTGATTACATTTACCGTTAAGGAAAATGATAAATCTGAATTGTTTATAAACCAAAAAAATCTTACAATAAACAATGTCACTCTAAATTCAAACAATACTGAGAATTTGTACAAAGTGATGAGTAAAGATATAGATAACGAAAGAGAGTTTGTCACTTTGCATTTCGATCGTAGTCTCGTCATTAATGAAACGTACACGCTTACGATAACTTACGATGGCATGTTAAACGACCAAAAGAAAGGATTTTACAGAAGCAGATATCTGGACGCAAAAAATGAAACACAGTAAGAACGTATTTTTAATTAGCCACTATCGGCGACAGTCGTTGATTAATTCAATTATAACGTACAGATCGTTCAATAAAAGACCGCTTCCGTATTACAGATATATCGCGACAACCCATTTCGAGCCAACAGGTGCACGAATGGCATTTCCATGTTGGGATGAACCCGAGTATAAAGCAAATTTTACGATTACGTTGATACATCTATCCAAATATACAACTGTACTCTCTAATATGCCTCAAGTACAAAAAAGTGCATCAACTCTAGACGGTGATAAACAGACGACTGTTTTTCAAGAAAGTCCGCCTATGTCCAGCTACCTCGTAGCGTTTGTGGTCTCAGACTACGCTGGGCAACAAAATGACGACAAAACGTTCGGAGTTTTCACCAAACCAAACGCGGTGCATCAAACAACGTATGCGTTGGCATTTGGTCAAAAAGTGATCCAGGAATTAGACAAATATACAAATAGGAAGTATTCGAAAATGATGCCGAAGATGGACCAGATTTCCATCAAGGATTTCTCGGCAGGCGCTATGGAGAATTGGGGTCTCGTGACCTACAGGTAATTATCGTTACGTGCAATCACGTCCTGATCACGTTGATTCGAAAGATTTAAGTCCAACCGTGAATGACTCATTAACTCTAAAACTTGTTGAGAACTCTTCGAGTATCCGTTTTATCTCAACCTTTTCAAGTAAGATTTATGCTTTATTCAACTTTTCGAAAACAAGTAAGACGTCGTTTTGCCCTGAAGAGGTATTTTGGTTTAGAGAGTGAAAATTCATACTCCTGCGTACCATTTAAACAAAAATATTAGATCTATTAATTTTAAATTGTGCGCATATATTCGTATAATCATAATCATAATTGTTATGTCGACAATCCTTTTGTCGATACATATTTTTTAGACCTAAGAAATTCGAAAAGTGCTATTAAAGAAAATCGAATTTTTCAATGTACTAGACTTTACATACTTATTTCTTTTATGTGAATCACGAATACAATATCTACTTAAATTTAATTAGAGAACAACTAATATGTAGCAGTGGAACATAATGTATTCCAATTAAAATTAACGATACAAACATGAATGAAATATCTTAACATCAATTAACATCAATTAATTAATAGTATTTTTAGAATTAGTGCATTTTCTCAAGTTTATATAATTCAATTCTCTCTGAGTCATTAATTGTATGAGAATAACGTGTTCGCGTGATCGAGTAGATAGAACACATTTTGACGAAAGAGATTTTGATACTGTTATGTAGAAAGCATTGATTTGTTACTTTTAAAAGTAAGCTACTCGAAAAAAACATGAATTTTTGTCGTTGATCCGTCTTATAATTTTCATTCAAGGGAAACTGCTCTTCTTTACGAAGACGGTGTTACCACGACTCGTAACAAACAGAGTGTGGCTACGATTATAGCACACGAGTTTGCACATCAATGGTTTGGAGATCTCGTCACGCCGAAATGGTGGAAATACATTTGGTTGAACGAAGGTTTCGCTAACTACTTCCAATATTACATCACGGATCAAGTAAGTACAAACGATTTCGCGTTTGATTGTATTGTACACAGTTCTGATAAGTACACGGATTATCAAACTTATCGAAACGATCAAATTATCAGAGCTACCCTAGGTAGGAGGAGCAAACATAAGAGCTGTGCTTCACGGTAGCTTCTATAAAATGAATGATACTTTTTAGCACTCCAATCTTATCGCACTTGTTATCGTATTACATCTCTTACACTTCTCATATAACTTTGTATAGTGGAATTGCTTCTTAATAGGCTTCTCGAACCAATTAATTTTTCTAATTCATTAAGTACCTTTACACTTATCTGATATATCGAAATGGTACTTTAACTCTGATCGTCTATGCACGACGTCAATTCGATTTTCTCTATGCGATTAGGTTCGAGAAAGTATCGCAACTGTTCTTTAGACATCCTTCCATTTTGTTAAATAAGGTATCGCTGATATTGTCATCCCTATAATTATATCACAAAGATGTGTAATGGTCCCTGAATTTGTATCTAGTCTTTTCCGGTGATTCTTTGTATCGATTGATCGAAAAATTGAAATCTATGATGATTCGCTGTCTTCGCAAGCCGGTGCACGTAGAAACAGTTTTTAATTTATAGACTAATTAACGTAAGTTGAGTCAAGCGGTACACGTGTACTCAACGAATTTTCAAAAATTAATTCGAGTATTTACATTCGCGTCATTTCTGAATGAGGAGAGATTCGCAAAAGTTTAGTCAAAAAATTGGTATCATTCGTTTGAATGAAAATAAAGATGTGAGATTAAACAGCCCCCCCCCCATCATTATTATCATCGAATGATTAAAATATTACTCGGTACTTGTTGATTCTTTCCTGGTTTTAATTGCTGTTATACTATTTAATTACTATTACCTGTAGAATGGCGCGTACGTTGGATTCGTTTTGCTGGCTGGATGTATAAGAACACTCATTTTGTCAATATTTGTAGCGTATCTGGACTAAGTAAACAATTATTTTATCGTTCACAAACTCTTAGGAAATCAAAAGTATACCGCTAGATTTCAGTTACACTATAGATACATTTGTAAAATCAATTGATCGAGTTCTCAAAGTCAGCTTTATAAAATACTTTCTTCACGGAGCATTATTATATTTAGCATTATTCTTTAAAGTTGTAAAATCTTGATATTTTTCATCCATGATTATTTTTCACAATTTTTATTCTTAGAATAATAATGAAATGAAACATATTTTTATTCTCGATTCGAATTTCGATAGTCATTAAACGTATCAAATTATTACGAAATCTAACAGTTTATGATACATCAAATAGCACATTGTAATCATAGAAATTACTGACCATAAATCAAATTATACAATTATATACATAATTGTAGAAAGAGTTGTTTAGACTACATTTGAGTGATATTGAAAGCTTAAACACAGATATTATATTATTAAACATTTTTTCGCAGTTTAGAGGATTATTACGGGGGTGGGGTGGGGTGGGGTGGGGTGGGATGGGGGGGCGATAGCTAGGTTCAGCAGGCAATCATTTTTCAAGGAACTATATCGGATAAACAAAATATTATCGATAGCCTGAATTTATAAATTCGTGGTTGAGTTTAAGAAAACGGTGTACCCTGCAATCGGTCTGATTTCTCATCATAGGTAGCCCTTGAGCTGACAATTACAATTGTGGTTATCTTGGCCGTCAACTCTCCTCCCAGAGGTCAAAAACTGAAATGACTCAAAAAGTGTTTTTTTTTTCTTTGCACCGATCTCGGTGAATACATCACCTCCAACTGTTTCTTTTTCCGTCGAGGAACATTAGTTTTTGGCAGGGATGGGCATGGATTCACTACGATGAACTGCGCTGCTCAGACAGTAGATTACGGGCTTGGTGCTATAATGTTCCACCGCGTGAAAAAAAAAGTTGGAAATGACGTACTCACCGAGATCGGTGAAAGAAAAACCACTCTTTGAACCATTTCAGTTTTTGACCCCTGGAGGGGGTGGGTTAAGGAACAAATTGACCACCATTATAATCATCAGGTCAAGGGCTACCTATGATAAAAAAAAGTCAGCTCTTTCTTAAACACAACCGAATTAGTACCCGAGACAGACTCGAAAAGGTTTCAGCAGAATAAAATACATCTTGTAAAATTAAAATCGTGAATTCTTCAATTCGTCGTGTAACTAACCATATTGCGCATGTTTCTATTTGTCATACCAATATAAATAAATGCTAAAGTGTATTTTAATACAAGTACGCTACGAATTATAACAGAATGTGGTGGAGGGTTAATGAACGGTACTCTCATTGTTCAAGAACATCGAGCAGGTTCAGGTTTGTGACATTGCCAGTGTCGGAGGCCTGGGTCAATCAAAAATCAGTTAGATAAAAATCGATAAAAAATCAGTTAAGGTCTAGGTGAACGACGCGAGGGGGTCGTTAGGGTTATAGACCCGTGCTTCGGGTGCGGGTGGTATGGTCGCTCGGAAGTTTCGTTTACGATCCTCACGATGGGCAGCTTTCTTTCTCTCCACGTTGGACGTTACATGTCACCCTTGGAAAGGGAACGGGGCCGGGCTTCGGGTTTTTTTTTCTTTTTAACGAGGCAGAAAGAACTACGTTTCGGCAGGGAAAGCATAGAGAAACGTGATCTGACCGTCGGACACGACTTTGAGCGTGAAGTGAATTATGTAGAAGGGACAGTCCCTCGATAGCCACGTGCCCACAGTATACAGTCCACAATAATAATGTATAGTATATCGGGCGTCATCATTCTCTTCCACATTCTGTGAGCATATGTGAACCGCGAGTGTCCGTGCGCGAACACTCATCCTCGTTTGTAATTTTGATAATCATTGAATGTATCAAATTATTACGAAACCTAACATTTAATTAAAATATATCCTTTTAGTTGAATCCATCATGGCGTTTAATGGAATTGTACGTTGTGGAAGCATTGCAAGGTACAGCCTTCATTACGGACGCAGCAAAGGATACGCGTCCCATAAACCAAGATGTGGACTCTCCCGCTGAAATTTCAAAACTGTTTGACAATATCGCATATCAAAAAGGTAAAAGTAGATTAATCGAATAGACGTACGTGATTTAATTATTGCATATTGCAGCGTTTCTCAAGAAGACAAATTTCGCGTCATTCTTAATGAAGTAATAGAAGAAAAAGTTTCTGAATTAAATAACTAGTACGCGAAATATTCTACGGAATAAAATTATCTCAATCATTTTTCAAATGCGCAGAACTCCGTCAATTTTTATTATATCTAGACAATCTTTTTTTTTTATTTTGTAGGTAATTATCTGTACTTTAGGAAAAAGTTAATGCTAGTGAATGCCGCATCTCCATGTCCTGGTAACGCGCAAGCACTCTGTTTTCCTTACAATTTGATTGTTTAATCGAAAAACACGGTCATTGTGAAAAGTGTGATTGGCGATGTTTTAGTATTTATGCTTTATCAGGTTTTATTTCAGACAGAGCAACTTGTATTCATCCTCAACATTTTCCAATTTTGATCGTTTTTTATATTCCATCTTAGCAAGAGTTGCAAATCCTAACTTAAACAAATACATGGTAGGAAAATACAGTAAAATGTTTATTGTTCTTTTAGATAACTTTGAATGTTTGATTCTTTGTTCGACCAGGTGAACAACGATAGTTTATTTTCCTTTTTAATTTTGCAACACACTTGGAAAATTTTACGGTACGCTCTTTGAGAGATGATAACATATTGGAAAAATTACGTTCTTTTATTGAAATCGATCAACGGTATTAACGACGAATCGCAATAAGATAATTTAATTTTGGTATCAGATAAAAAACATGAACAAACATGATACGGACTTTTAATCATTTCAATTTATTAGCCGACGATACGATTGTTTCGGTGAGAGTAAACATATATCGATTGTAGCGGCTATAAATATTATCAGTTTAAAGATAACGCGTTAGTCCTCTGATATCGAAGAATTCAAGAATTAAAGAAATAATATGAAATTGTTAAGTGATCAATTCTAAATTTAAAAGTATCGTAAACGGAATTAAAGAAATACAGCTGGATTGTAAAACTACCGGTTCTAAATATAAGAGAACAGCTTTCATTTTTGATAGTACAAATAGTCAATTTAATAGTACCGAGGAAACTAACGGTGACGGTTGTGATGCAATCGAGAATGCGAACCATGATGATAAATAATAATATAATATGTATTTCCTACAGCTGGATCGGTTATTCGAATGATGTCGTACATTTTGACGGAATCAGTCTTTCGGAAAGGGTTGCAGAGTTATCTGGATCAATAGTAAGTATGCTAGGAACTATCAAATATATTATATATCAAGAATTCACCTGCTGATACTGCTAACAAGTGTTATATATGTTTTTTTAAGAAATTTACTGTACCTAATCATCTTTCGATGATGCATATTTATAATGCAAGAATAATTATGTATCTCATTCTGATGATACACATTTTGCTATTTTTTGAACTAACTAAAATTACGAAATGAAACTGACACTTGTCGATACTTTGTTATAAAGGAAATATAAATCATATCGAACCCCCAGTATGACGAACGATTAAGGTTGCAAGAACCATTTCTGTACCTCTGTACTAAGTTCTTCTTTACAAAATTCCCTTATAAATTACAATTTAAATGAAAAATTGTATTATTTTTTGATAGATTTCAATTCTGTCTTTCTTGAGTAATAGAAATTTTAACATTGTTTAATAATAATTACAGTTAATATCTCCGCAAAGTAAATAGGCTAAACTTTTCGTCAAAAGATTAGAAGCAACTAAACGAATTTCGTCTTGATTGGACAAAAATAATCAAAGTTATAAGGGAAATAAACTGATTTTGAATTTTATTGATGGGTGGGAACGATAATTATCTAATGGAGATAATTTGTGGATTCTTAAACATATTTTTAGTGAAACTAAAAATTCCTTTGAATCGTGTAGTCTGAGAATTTAGAATGCTATACGAGAAACCTCTATAGTTACTTATTATACAGGTTGTCTCAAAAATGTTGGAGGTCCATGAAAGGGGTGGTACGGGAGATGATTTGAAACAACTCTTTCCTTGGCGAAAATGTTGTCCGAGGCTTCGTTAAGGAGATATTAACACAAAAAAACCGATCAATCATAACGCGATAATGTCGATGGAGCGTCCGCGTTCTGATTGGTCGGGGTTTTCTGTTAATATCTCCTTAACGAAGCCTCGGACAATATTTTTGCTAAGGAAAAAGTTGTTTCAAATCCCCTCCGAAACGCCCCTTTCAAGGACCTTCAACATTGTTGGGACACCCTGTATAATACACTCTTATTTGCATAAATCTTAGTAAATTAGATAATTCTAATTGAATTGGCTATTAATGGCGACTCGTGACCTAAATACATTGAATTCATTTCACGTCTACTTGTCTCGATTAGAGTTAATCATAGAGATTTAGAGGAACTATCTTAGAACATTCAGTTTATCCGTTCCAAACGTATTTCATATATCAATGTTTGTTACAGTGCATACAAAGTTGTTGAATCGGACAATCTCATTAATACCCTCCAAAAAGCGGCGGGCAAAACCTGGGCAGGCCAAAACTTAACAACAATAATGACAGAGTGGTTAGACAAGCCAGGATATCCTGTAGTTACAGTCAACAAGACAAAGGATGGAAACCTTGTGTTAAGTCAAGAAAGATTCTTATTGGACGGCGTTAAGGACGATTCAAAGTGGTGGATACCGATCAGTTACGTCACGAACAGCACGGCAAAGATTGACTTTAATATAACGGAGCCGAGTTACTGGATGAGTAACGATGACTCGGTACTAACTATTGAAGCCAAGATTCCCAACGAAATCTGGGTCATTGTCAACCCAAAACAAATAGGTGAGTAATCTACGCATTTCGTAAAATATTAATCTTGATTACTTTCCGAATAGAATAAATTGAACGTAATATTGTTGTAAGTTAATTCTTCCCTCTTTATTGATATCCAGATGATAAACGGATATCTTCATTAATTGATGAATTATTCGTTCATACGACGTTCTATATCATTTGGGCCCCCTACGGGACTCAACATAATATTTTACAAGATCTCAAGTAGAGAGTGTATGTACAGTACATAGAATACTGTACGTAATATATATTTAATATTTTTACTGTTGGCTAACGAGAATTTAAGTATAATTGCTAGGGAAAGATTGAACTTGTAATCTGTCAAGCAATAGTTACATTTCAAATTGTTATTAGAATGATAATATTTAAATCAACGTTTCGTCCGGTCATCATTCCGGTCTCTTTTTATGAGTTTTTGTAAAGTTAGAATCCGATCGCACTAATGAATTTATACCTCGAGCAGGATAGAGCAACTGTGCTCATTGAATTTCATCTTATTCTAATGAAAATTAATATTTTTTATTTTTCACTATGTCGTTACAGTAGTATCGCGAGGAGCAGGATTCTTTCGATGAAAATAAATCCAAACAAAAACTTTTTAAAACTAGTTTTAATTCTTCATAAATCGACTCACTTCTGAATTTAGAAAAAAAGTGGAGCAGAGGCGTATAATTAAAATGAGGTACACGCGGTGACGTTTGGATTCATTTATCATCGAGGAAACATCGTTAATCCATTGGCTCCATAGACATATGAAAATATAGACCGAGCCTTTGTATTTACGAGGGGCAACTGAAATGACATTTTAAACAGGTCACCTAAATAACTCGCTTGTTTTTGAAGATAGGAGAAAATGCATCAGACCAAACTTACTTGGTGACGAGGGGCTAATAATTTGGTATTACCAATTTTTTTGTAGATGAAGACGTCAAGGAGATATGAAGATCAATTTTGTTTTTTTTTTTTTAATAGAATGGTATGGTTTCTTACTTAGAGTTTGGTAGAGTGTTTCAGGACCAATACAATGACCTATTATGAAGGTCATTCGAGGAAACCCAAAATCAACTGCAATAAAAAATAAATTATAACAGAATGTGTGTTAAAAATTTACAAGAAACTCATTATAAACTACATTTATTTCCTAGTTATTTCGTGAACTTGAAAATTTGAAAGGAATGTCTTCTTTCTAGGTTATTATCGCGTAAACTATAACGAGGAAAACTGGAAACTTCTATCGGATTACTTGCAGAAAAACAACGACGGCAAAATCGATCCCGTGAGTCGTGCTCAGCTGATCGACGATGCTCTGGCATTGGCACGGGAGAGACGTTTAAATTACACAATTGCATTGACAGTCACCAAATTCCTCGCAAAAGAAAAAGACTATATCCCGTGGACCACAGCTTTCAGACATTTGAACTTCTTCGAAAGTGTGCTGTACTCATCCGACAAGTACTCCAAGTTCGAGGTACATATACGTGAATTGCATAGATAAACGGTTTCGCCTCCTCTTCTTTTCGCGAATTTAATTCTATTCATTTCGCAGTAAATATGCAATTAAAGTTACAATATAATAATTCGAACTGTTTCTTAGTGAACAACTATTATATTAGTCTATAGTGCCCTTTTGAGAATTTGATTCATCGTTAGTTTGATGGTAATCCTCGGTAACAGAAAAATATTCAGCTCTATAATAGAATTGTTGAGAAATACAAACATGACAAAACATGAGGAAACATATAGAGATACTTCCACCAAACGGAATGAGTCATTGTTTTTCCTGTAATTATTAGTCCCTACTTTTGTATAGATGTTGGATCCTCAAAAAATTACAAAAACGAAACATAGACTGTGTATGTTTTACATTTACCTATACTTTTACTTAGTTGATTAGCTTTACTGTAAGAGAATTCATTCGTACCGTAACAATTATTCCGATTGAATCAAATTTAATTCTCATTTTCGATAAGGGCATATAGAATGGATAGAAACAAATGGTGTCAAAAAATACCCTTTTTAGCAATAAGTAAGTTGAAAATCTGGCTCCACTGAAGGTGAACATATTGAAAAGATATTTCAGATTATAACGTTTAGACATTCCTTGTCCGCCCAATTCGACATCAATTATTTTAAATCAATCAATTTTAAATCACTCATAGTGCATTGCTCAAATCTTTTCAGTCTTACGTTCGAAATATAATGGAGGTTGTGACGAATAGCCTAAACTATACCACTTCGGCAAACGACTCTCATGTCACGAAACTTCTTAGAACAAACGTAATGAAATGGGCATGCAAAGTTAAGAAGCCAGAGTGCCTAACCGCCGCGCAGGCGGAATTCGATAGTTGGTTAAAAAATAATACAACGTAAGTCCTTACTGTTTTTGTTGTCGACACCTCTCGTAAATCATAACATATAATACAAATACAAATATTCTATAACGGTTCATTTCACACATTTCACGCAGTTATTACGCAGATTAGCTTTTGTTCATTCAATACAAAATTTAATTTCAGTTTGTAATTTGGATTATGACTTTCATGAAACGAAAAATAAGTTATAAACTGTACACCTTTCATTCGTTTTACGAAATTTGTATTCAGTTCACAATTTCGTCTATTCCTGTTTAAACAAATCATCAGACTTGAGCGGTGCAATGTAGGTACTCTAATTTTTCATTTTCTTGGCACTGTATCAATTTATTTAATTAAATTTTCAATTGACGCTCGTCACTTGAAAAACAAAAATAAATAAACAAGGAATCAAGGCGTGTATTATTGTTTCAAATATAATTTCATACCATCAATTCAAATCTTATTTATAAATTATTATGCGATGGATAAATTCTTCGTGGAATTATCGTAAAACTTCAATGACGTTGTAATTTTATCGATTTTCACCATGTTTGTTTCGGTACAATGTTTTTAAGACTTGGAACATTAATGAAAACGTGAAACGAAAGAAATTAATTCTGTTTTATCCTCAACTTAGTCAAGCGGCATCGATATTGAATTTAAAATAAAGAGGTTTCGCTATCATCATGTTCAAACTCTGTGTTTCGATCAAAATTTCACAGAATTCAATCGCAAAGCAATACAATTACAGGGTAATTCAATTCCGTAATTTAATTACATTGTATTTCAATCACGTTGTAATTGAATTACTTAATTCAAACTTTTCAATGAATTCAATTGATAATTGTTGTATTTAGGAATCTGATTAAATTTCTACGTAATTAAATTAAGTAAATTTAATTAAATTAAAGTAATTAAACATTTTAAACGCACATACAATTTAATAAACTATTTTTCTTTAATGTGTATAAATATTAATGATAGTATACTTGAGAATGGTATTATTTATTTACCGAGGGACATATTAATTTACGAATTCTTTTTTAGTCAAGAATTGACTTCCGGTTACACTTTTCTCATTTGACTAATATCATTGCATGCATACGATATATATCAATTGCCATAACAATTCGTTAAAAATTCCTTACATATATTTTACTGCTAAATATTGATAATAGCCATAAAAATATTGTGTTTCATTCGTTATTTTCTTTCTATTCAATGAAATGATTGTCAATTTTTTACAGATTAAACCCTGATTTGAAGAGCAACATTCTCTGCTATGGATTGAAAACCGCCAAAATTGAGACATGGAACGAAGCTTCGCTGAAACTGTCGAAAACCACAACCGATCAGGATGAATTGAACGTTGAGCTTGCTGTTTTGGGTTGTTCCAACGATACAACAATTCTAGAACAATTCCTCAAAAAATCCCTTACTAAAGACCTTAATATCGACTTTGACGTGGCTGTCCAAGCTATACTAACTAATAATCAACTGTCGGGATTCAAGATTGTTTTGGACGTACTTGAAGAGAACATTGAGGAACTCAAAAAAAAATAGTAATTAATGATAACATCAAAGATAAGCACATTTAATGAAATGATTTGATAATTCTAAATAACACTATTTTTCACGTTTCAGTAATGATTTCGAGGATAGGATAAAATCATGCATAAACAGTCTTGGAAACGTTGTTGTTAATCAAGATCAATATATGCGGGTACGTTGACATCTCATTAACTATAGTGATCTATTTAAGAATCATTGACACGCAATCTATATGTTATGTTCAAAAAATTCAATTCAATTTTATTTTCATACTCTCACTTACTGCAAGTTAACGTTTTGCAGTAGAATGCAACAGCTCGATCGATCGTATGAATTTCCTTAATAATATTATGCTAATCGCAATTTTTTAAACAATGACATTGAAATGATTCAACGATACCTACTTCGTTAAATTAAAATTGCGTTTGTAACGCTATCAGTAAACCGATTGTTAATTTGGTAATCAGCAATTTTAGTAACCAATCGCATTGATTATTCGTGTTCTTCCAGGAGTGGTTTGTTCATTTGCTTTGAAATTAGACTTTAATTAAAATGAAAATCAATACGTTTACTGGATTGTCGAGAGCATTGATTTACAGTCTTGCATACGTTCATTTTTAAAAATCAAAATTTTTAGAAATAATATGTTTTTTAAATATCAGTGTTTTGGCCGATAATCTTCGATTTTTTTGATCATCCGCTCGTATGAAGTGAAAGTAGTGCAACATAAATTATTATAATAATAATAAGGAGATCATACTCAGATCATACATATATATATATATATATATATATATATATATCAAAGTTTGCTACATGGAAGCAATTCCTGAATAGGAAAAGTGTGAGGAACTAAGGTTAATGTTTAAAAATGACTGAATATGAGATTAAAAATGATTCGATGATCAACGGAAGAGTTTCTTATCTGGAATGAAATTTGTCTTCAATGACTCAAAATGATTTATTTGTTTCAGCTGCACAGATTCAATTATGCAGTGGGCCTGAAAGATGTCATTGAGAGTACAGTACAGAAGTCAATGAGAAAACTTAATTGGATCGAGTTGAACATAAAAGATGTTGAAAAATGGTTCGAGAAGAATTCCGCTGGTACTGCGACTTTTACATCGTTTGTCATCATCCTTTCATTCCTCGTTACGCGATTTTATTAAGTGAATTGCCATTTTCCACGTACCAATGATGGGGCACTGAAACACACGTATACATAAGAAACTACACGGAATAAGGTACAACTATGTCCTTACATTAAAGTAAACGTGGAATGCTCATTTCTAAAATATACATTAGGCAAATTACACGACTCTACATTACTTCAGGAGGCTTAATAATGAAATTATTAAACATATCATAGAATATGTTTGCGTCGAAAAATGAGAACTGTGTAATATGAATGCAAATTATTTAAATGTATTTGTAAATATACCTAAACGATTTAAATGTATTCTAATATATTTTGGAGAATGTACAATAAAGAAAAAGAATACACTAAGTGTTGTTTAGAACGGTTTTTAAAGCAGGAAAAATACGATAAATAATTAGTGTCAAGTAGCTTAGGTTTAAAATTCAAATAATTCACGAGTACATATTATCATTATATTTAACCCATATTTGTTTAGTGCATATTTCGACGAATATGTCATCAAATCGTATAATGACGCGAATACAAACATTTCGGAAAGTTTCAACGAAAGATAAATCATTGTTTCGATAAGTTTTTTCCGTGTGCTAAGGAAGATTATGATATTTTGTTTATATTTTAAAGTTACTTTAAGGTGATATGCATGATACTATTATTGGACTTGTTGTAGGTAGCGAGACGATAGCTCAACGTCTATCAATTGGTATCATTTATTAATTCCTAATTATGATTTTAGCGATAAAACTGCAAAATACTAAAATAGACGTATAGTTTATATGAACCACTTATTCATTAATTACATCCCATCGTATCGCCGTATGCAGAGCGATGGTATAAATAAGATATTGTCTTCTATTGTTCTACTCTTTAGCTGGAAATCTGCAGAACTACTGTTCTGGCTGCATATTGCCTAACAATAAAGGACATAGGTTAACTGCATAGATTATTCACGCTACAGTGTAAGGCATAATATTCACATTCGTCATTTGGTCTGTCTAAGATGATGATAGCATCGTTGCTAGATGTGTATTTTGAAAGTAATAGTGTTCGTGAATATTACTCGTGATAATTGTTCCTTATTGAGCCGCTTCAACAGCACCGATCGCCATATTGCCGCTCGCTTAATTACTTTTCGCGGTAGTTCCCTGGAAGAGGATATCTACACAAAATTCATTAAGCAAATGCATATTAATAAGCGTAAGTATGATGTTGATGATCAATATTAACGTTTATTGTTCTTGAATTGAAACGATGGATTCGATAGAATAACAAAATGTGACTGAAAAAAGGAAAAATTAATTGCAATTATTGAATTTGAAACTCATAAATAAGTTTATTTTTACGAGTGAAAGCTTTATTGCATTCAAACTCGTTATATCCATGTATTCAATAAATGTATGTCTTTATTGTAATACAACAGACAAGAATTAGCGATTTCAATGAATGCAATTGCTAATTTTATATAAATAAAGTTGCAAGTTCTAATGCAAATAGAAAACTAAACATTTCTGTAAAAGTTGTATATTTTGACAACGAATGAAAATATTCCAGAATTATTTGTCCAGCAAATAGGTAACTGAAATCAATAACAAAAAATAGCGCTACCTCCTCAAGTAAAACAGACACTAATATCGTTTAATAGTAAATATAGCTAATGTTTCTGCAAGAGAAATAGTTTAAATTTTCCGTCAAATCATAAGAAGCAACAATATGGAATCCTGAGTTGTCAGTGAGGTTTTTCAGAGCAGGATCTCAACCATGTATTGTGACAATGTCGAATCCTTAATTGAAATAGGAATAACATGATTCGTAACCTTTGTAAAATTGGACTTTATCCACCTCAAACAATAAATGTATTCCTTAGCAAACCAATGACTCAACCTTTACTAATTATATTTAAGTTTCTAAAATCTCATGGTTCATCGTCGAAAGTCACATATTGTTTCTAATCTAGTATCAGGTACTACTGTACATACTTATTTATTAATTGTATCTAAGATTAAGTCTTGTGTGACACTGTAATGTGTACTGTTTCATTCAATTGTCATTTAATTGCTAATATGCTCAGTAAGGAGCATGTCGCTAATAACCCCGTAGCAAGTTTAATAGCCTAATAATAAAACAAACTAAACTAAACAACATTTTACCTACATTGGAGAAAGCTAATTAAAGTTATAAGAAAATCTCAAACAGAGAGATTTTCAATTTTAACTATATACCTGTGTTAGGGTTCTTGCAGAATTTTTGAGTGGTAGATCCTAAAATATTCCAATACCTGAGAATTCCCGTTACCTCGAAACAATCGCATTACTATAGCAGATAGAATTTCCCTCTTCAAACCAAGGAACTTATGAACCAACCCACGTAGACCATTCCAGCAGTACGCTTGTTTTCAAATATTCTAGATGGAACTCGCTACCCTTGATCGTCTACACAGACAAGCTTAGTCTCAACTGCAAAAAATCAGCTACATTCGAAGCGTCAACAACCACAGTTATACCTAAACTGCCAGCAAGTCAGCTGCTCCTGCGACTTTGAATAGATACGTATTTCAATTGTACAACTGCTCGCATGTGCTGGATTCGATTAAAACAACATAATTGTTTGTGACAATTTCCGAGCTGATGAGCAAGATTCTTTCGATGAACATAAATCCAAACATACACTTATTAAAACTGTTTTTAATTCTCCATAAATCGACTCATGAATCGGCTAAATAAACGTTTGTGATTTGTGCGATAGTAACGATAGCACTTGTTTAATTTCGAAGTTCGTCAAGTTACAAAATTCGTGAATTTTTAGTTAGAAAGTTTGAAGTACAAAAAATTATGTGTAAAGTTCAAGTGTGTATATCAGAAATAAAAATGCCCCTAGACTGCATCAAGGGTAAAACGCGTTCAAAGTACAAAAATAATCTTATGCTGTTCCCAAATTATTGAATTTCTCTCAAAGACGATTTTAAACGACGGTTCCTGTATTTATGTGAGAGTTAATAAAAATAAGTGGGGAAGGATTATCGAAAAGAAAAAGGACATGACAGCTCAGCTTATTTAACTTGTGAATTTTGCCATACTCAAGTACTTACAGAATGGACTAAATAAAGATGGCAGCTCATAACTCCGTTATCAGTGTCTTTAGGGAAAAATGTCAAAGTGACAAAAAGGATGGTTAAAAATTGGTTGCATTATATTTTTAAATAGAAATTCATATTTTTTGCATAGATTAAATCCTTTTGCGATATTTTAAATAATTGTCTTCAATGAAGAAGATGCCTAAACGATTCGTGGCAAAATTGTAAATACTTCGAACACCACTTCGGCATTAACGTTTGTTATCATAACAAAAATACCTTAATCAGAAGAAGAATACCTTAATCAGTAGAATGTTATGGAGAAGCGTTCGAGCATTTTCTTTAATAAAGACAATTATTGAATATCTCGTAAAGTAATCATTTTTTTACTACTTTATTAACACTTTTCTTATGTATTCAATCTAGGGGAAAAAAAAACGCAACTACCGAATGCATACGCACCATTACACTTATAACAAAAAGAAATACATACATATACGTGTCGAATTGAGTAACCTCCTCCTGTTCGAAGTCGGTTAGAAATATGGTTTTACGAATATAGGACTTTTTTAAACCAATTCATCTTCTCCCTTCGACATTTTTCTCCAGAGGCACTAATAACGGAGGTATGATTTGTCACACCCAGTATAAAAACGAGTTCAGGGATGAATTTATAACAGAGGTACCACGGATTAACCATTGCGCGCAGTTTGAAATGTGGTTTCATGCTATTCTTTAATAAAAAAAAGCAATTATTGAACAATCAGTTAGAACGTCGAATGTAATTGGTCACTTCTTAGGTTTGAAATCAAATGAATTCATGAGATATACCTATAATCATATAATATATCATTACCTATAATTTTCTTAACGAGATCGATTTAATTCAAATTAGAATTTCTACAATATTAAAGAAATGACTTTCACGAATGAAAAATTACGTAAATGTGCTACGTATAGACTCTAGATGATGATTTATTCGAAGTTAATCGAACAATTCACATTTGTAATAGTACGCTAGACGCATCGTTATTTTCATGAAATATCGACGCTTAACGTTTGAATTGTGTCGATAGTAGCGGAGATGTCAACAAGAACATCTTAACAACACAAATGACAATTTATTTGAACATGTTTGATACGACACGCGGTATTTAGATATGGACACTTATCAATTGGACCAATCCAATTGTTTACTAACGAGTGAACAGAACGTAATTTCTCAAGTGTTAGTTAGAAAACTGCTGTTACGAACAGTCTTATATTAAGATACTACGTTAAGCTATATTTTATTGTTAATAAGTTCATTGCTTAAATTTCAATGTTGTTTAGTGTTCATGTGATCGAATCATTTATACTCTACCAGATTATAAACAAATAGGGAATAAAGTGACGAAAATATAATACAATCATTTTTTAGGTGATCCTAATAATGTAATATACAAATAATATTTGTTTACTCCATTGTTCTACATTGTAGTTACGAAGAGTATCACTTTCCTAATTTCAAACAATTTACATAGTTAATACAATATCTACTGTGTGTTTATCTTTGAAGGATTTTTCTTTGAAGTTGACAAACAACTCCATGTTTAACGCGACTTTTCAATGAAATGATTAAACAGTCGCGATTAAATAATTTAAATTATATTATTAAACAATTTTTGTTCGCAATTTAATAATATCTGACAAATCAGACTGTTATTAATTTAAAGAGAGAAATAATATTCACTGTACTTAGTTGGGAGCCAAGGAGGGCAAATGAGGGTAACGGAAGAAACTTATTTTCTGCTAGCGTACAATGTCAATAATTGTTTCTACGGAGGATTTCTATGAAGGAGAAATAGTTATAGTTATTGACATTTCCTAAGTATCCAGACTTCGGGAACACTCTGTATATAAAGCACGGTTATGTATCCGCTAACAACTGTGATTTTATGTTTCCTTGTTTTATAGAATGGCGTATGCGAAGAGTCTAGTGGTTATCTTGTTCATATGCACCCTTCCGAATACTCTTTCTATTCAAAATGACGTCTTAGAAAGGAACACAAATGGACCAAGTGATATGAAATATCGTCTACCAAATAACACAGTACCGATGCATTACATCATTAAACTAATACCCGACATCGCCGGGACTTTCTCATTCGATGGTGAAATTAGTGCTGAGTTTAAAGTTCTCGAACCAACCGCGAGCGTGGCATTGCATTTAGAGGATTTAGCATTGAATGGAAGCGCGACACAATTAAAGCTCGAAAATGGTAATATACTTA